TACTTTTCACTTCGACAAGATATAATCATGGTACTGCACTCTTTCTCATTCTTTTTTTGTTTTGTTTATTTCGTTAACTTTATTGGTGGGAGAAAAAATGCAATCAGAGTTAGAGGGATTTCAATAGATATAGGACCTGAGAATAGAAAGAAGCTCTATAAACTCTGTGGTGGGAGAAAATTACTTCACATTAATGGAGACGAAAAATGAAGGTTTCTTGCATTATACTTATGTTAAAAAAATTCTTCAAATTTTGAGGGGGGCGGCCGCCAACCCTAGCACCCCCTGGGTCCGCCCCTGGCTTGGAATGCTGGATACTGTAACATCATTATTGAAAGTGATTCAACAAGTGTAATCACTATGCTCACTAGAATTGATTGGGTGAAAGTGGGCTGGGCTGGGTCAAGATTTGCCCCGAAAAGCCCAAGCCTACGCCAAAATTTTTTAATTTGGCCTGACCCAAGCTTGGTACGAGTCTAACTGTTAGTCTGTCTTGGCCCATTTACAAAAAAGCAAATGGCCAGGCCTAGCCTGTTATCATGTTAATTTTTAACTTCCAAGCATAACTATGAATCAACTTTACAAAATAGTCAAATTTTGTTGCTAATCCAAAAATCATAATTTCAACGTCTAAACATAATCATAAATTACAACAAAACTCATACAATCTGCATATAGTACACTTTCAAAAGCAAAATGTTCAAACTAAATAATATATATTTCATCAGATCCATCAAACAAATCCATATTATGTAAATTAAAATAATTACATGAATCCAACAAATAAATCATGATGCTTGTAGTAAGTATAACCTCTCCTAAAAACCTTTTAATATATTCATATACACAATCTGACATGTTGAAATCTTTGTTCCTTCTACATAAGAAATAAAGTTAGATTTCTATTAAAATATAATCGAATATAATTAAGTTATAAATAATTGCAATTGATTAAATTTATATCTTTTGTTTTTTCTTCAAGGCATACTTACTCTATTTTATTTTATTTAAAATAAATAGTACAATATAGGCCGCCTTGTAGGCTTATAGGCCAGACCTTGTGAAAGTGGACATACGGCCTTTTTATTAAACAAGTTTTTCAAGGCCCAAGCTTGGCCTATTTTACGAAATATGCTAGGTCAGGTCTGGCCTGATATAGGCCGAGCCGTAGGCTGGCCCGGCCCAGTTTCACCCCTAGATGCAGCAGTCCGTGAGAATCATTTGATTTCTCGCATAAGGACATGAATCGATAAAAAATGGTCTGTGACTTTCAAGCATACTTTGAGGAATGCTAACTCGTGCACAGACTAGTTGACAAATTTCATATTAGACTATGAGGGGCATGAAGACTATCTTATTTGTTTTTGTCAAGCATTGATTAAATTGCCATATACGATACATTTTTTAAAATAAAAAAATAAAATATTTTTGTTATTGTGTATACAATTCTGACATGATGAAAAATGAACGGTTTACGGAGCGATAAACTTTTTAATTCATTAAATAAAATTGAAAAATAAACATGTTTTTATTATGCCCATAATATTACAATGAATATTATTGTTTCTATCAAACATTGATTAAATTGCCATATACGATGCATTTTTAAAAATATAAAATATATCTTCTTGTGTATGTAATTATGACATGATGAAAAATAAACGGCTTATGGAGTGGTAGACTTTCTGATTCATTAAATGAAAATTAAAAAATAAACATTTTTTATTACGCCCACGATACTACAATAAACATATTTATTTTTATCAAGCATTGATTAAATTGTCATATACGGTGCATTTTTTAAATAATTTTTTTTAATTGTGTATACAACTCTTACATGATGAAAAATCAACGGTTCATGGAGCGATAAAATTTCTAATTTATTAAATGAAATTGCAAAAACATATTTTACATCACCGACAGTGGTGGACCCAGAAAATTTTATTTATGTCTGCACATTTAGAGGCAGGGTTCCTTTGAGATTTTTATGTACTCAACAAATATTACGAGGCCCAATTTAATCCCTTAGGAAAATAATCTACTCGTGGTCTCTTTGAAATTCAAAATAAGCCTATGTTAGTCCTTTTGAGGGATTAACATGAATCTTTTTTGAATTTCAGAGGGACTACTATTACGACCAACTGAGTTTATTTTGGAATTCAGAGGGATCACAAGTTGACTTTTTTTCTTCTAAGAAAATAAATTGGGCCTCGTAATTTTTGTTGAGGACCTATAAAATACTTTATTTTTTTCTTCCAAAAATTTGTGCTTGCACTTGCATTCAGTGGCACAATTGCAGGTCCGCCTCTGATCACTGGTGCTCATGGTCTCCGAAAGGTATAAGACTTTATTACGCCTGATTTAGATAACCTTGGAAGGGCATGGGAGCTTTAATGTTAACTGGTTAAAATATAAAATATAATATTAAAGTTTTTAATTTTTATAAAAAATTCGTCTTACTTCACATTAATTTTAAAATATATACATAATTTCACTTTTATTCACAAAAAATTATGGATATGCAATGATGTCTTTATGCCTTATAGACGAGGGACTCAAAGTGCATACCTCACTAACACTCGCTCTAGTTAAAGGGATGTTTTTTTGACAAATTTTTCATACAAACTACAAACACATTTAACCACGTTTTCTTCATTGATGGATTTGAGTTGGATTCACGGTTGGGCTTTGAACATAAGGATATGTATCAGAGTAGCTGGGTGTGTACTACCAGGGTAAATAAGGACATGTACCAGAGGTAACCGGGTGTGTACCAAGGTAAATAAGGACATGTACTAGGGTAACCGGGTGTGTACCTGGGTAAATAATTTTCTACTCGGATAACTGAGTGGTCAACGATCAAACATGGGTAGATTGATGTTATGTTTGTTGAGAATGTTAAATTTTTAAAATAGTTTATAAACGAGGGCAATATGGTAATTTTTTATTAGTGAAAGACTACAATGGTCAAAAAGCCTTTTTTATACAAATTTATTTGTTTCTTAAAAAAATGAGAATCTATTCAAACTTATTATAATTTTTTATATAAATTTTATTTGTTTCTTAAAAGAGTGAGATTAATCTTCATTTAGTTCAAACTCCCCCACTTGTTATCACAAGTATAACTAGCAACTTTGTTCTTATTTTTTTAATATATTTTCCATACTAAATACAAGAATTCATCGTATCATTGTTTTATTGATATTAAAGTAATTATGATACTTGAAAACATAATAAATGTGAAATAATGGTTAATAAAAATGATTGTAGGTTAGATTTGATCGATTTTAGGGGAAAAAGCTGATGAAGTTTAGCTGAGTTAAATTGAATTAGTTTATAACTTTTAAATCAAATTGAACTAACTCAATTTTATTATCATTGGATTGATTTCGGATTAGATGATTTATTTGATATATTTTTATATTTGTTAAATATTCACCCAAATACAATTGCTAGTTCTTCATCTCTGGCAAATTCACCCAGGTAGTATTTGGTTGGAGAGAAGTTAAAACTTTGCTGGGTAAGTGCATGTGAAAATCTGAGTAAACCACGTTTGGTTGGGAATTTTTGGAAAATATGCCCATCAAACCCACTTGCCCTGCAATGCAAGAAGAAGTGTAAAAATTGGATTTGAGCACTGTTGAAGAAGCCGTTTCAACAGGTGGTATTGGTTTAGGAAATCAGATATGTGAAAAAGGTGAAGAATGGGGTGACAAATATACCCCTCCTTCTTAACCACACGTTCGCAAGTGATATCCAAAACCACATTCTGACTTACACGAGCAAGGGATATCCATTGTTAGTAACATGCGCATACTGCTGCTAAGATGAGAATCATTCTCTTTCCCGGGTACCATCTTGGGATCACTGCCGGATGATCCTGCAACTCGCATTAACACACACTTAGCTTATGTGTTCCAAATTTCAAATGAAGCAAGTATACACCTACATATGGTATATCGCTAAATTTAAGAAACAGAGAGAGAACAAAAGGGATGAACTTGGGTAAAAAAAATGCAGGATCAAACCCAGAACCATGAAATCTTAAACCAACAAAAAAAAAATTTCACAAAAAAGTTATATCCATAGCCACATGAACCAATCTTACTCAAATATCTCCAGACTCACTCACTGTGCGCGATGAAGCTGACAGCTTGGAGGTAGGACAATGTAATGGAGACCGAGACTTTTATAAAAAGAACCGAGAATACATGTGAGAAAATGTTTAATTTTATAAAAAGGTTAATTTTGTCTTTTGTATTCTTTTTCCCATCACAATTTTATTTTCAACCAAACACACATCAGGATTTTTAACCCAATTTTCCTAGTAATATTTTGCTCTACCAAACAACTTTTTTTAAATTTTTCTACCAAACTAACTTTCCAACATCTTTTCTAGTAAAGACAACTACCCACTTTAAAAAAATTTCTCTCCAACCAAACACTACCCGAGACTTTTGTATTTTAGAAGAAGAAAAATATGATTTTTAAACTTAAGTAGAATAACATTGTCTAATCTCTAAATAGTATTGTTTCATTAATCATTTATATTATTCTGGATGGGTTTAGTGTGTGTCATTTAAAAAGGACACAAGTTATGTCTTTTTAGTGACTTACACAGAGTATGATCAGTCATACTCTGTGTAATTCTGAAAAGTTGCTTTTTTCACTTTACACGTCAATAATGTGACTGAGGAGAAAAAAAAAATAACTTTTCAGATTTACACAAACTATGACCCGTCATACTTTGTGTAAATCATCTAAAAGGACATAGACATAACTTATATCCTTTTACATAATACTTTTTTTTTTTCCATTCTGGATATATTTTAAACCCAATCCAACAAGCAAAATCGTAAGAACCCACATTTTGTGGGTTGGGTTAGTCGATGGGCGTGTAAGGATCCGTAGTGGGCCGAACGGCCCAATTACATGCATAGCGAAAACGTAGGTAGTTGCGACTCGATAACCGAACTCCCATCTTAGCATAGACAGTTACCAATGGCGGAGCCTCTCAACACTGAACTCTCTTCCTCTAAAACCCTAAGCCCAATCAACGGTCACGATTCCACCTTCGAACCGCATCAAACGGCTCCGCAAGACACTCAAATCCATCATGAAAACGACGACCTCGTTCCGACTGAGAAACGTAAGAGGGAAGACGGTGACGGCGGCGGAGCCGGAGCCGACGCCGACCGTTCGCTCCATCCGCTGTGGAAGACCAGCCTCTGTTCCTACTTCAGGCGCAATGATGACTCCTGCAGCCACGGCGGCGCGTGCCGCTACGCGCACAGCGAGGAGGAGCTCCGCCGTCGACCCGACAACACGTGGGACCCGACTTCCGAGCGAGCGAAGAAGGCGTTGAAATCCGAGGCGGGCGAGAAGTGTGACAATTCGGAGGGTGTGATGATGACTGAGGCCGTCGTCGACGACGATGTTGACGGCAGTGGCTCCAGTCACGCGCTTAGTAAATGCTTAGTGCATTTGCCGAGGAAGTGGAGCTCCGAGAATTTGAGAAAATTTCTCACTGAGGAGGCAAGCCTGTTTCCGAGTCTCTGATTTTCAATTTACTTAACATGTTTTTTTTTTCTGAGTCTGCATAATGAAGCATTTGATTCTCTTGTTTCCTTTTTCCAGGGTATACTTTTTAAGCATGCGAAGAAAAAGAAAGGTATGATGATTGGTTTCGTTAGTTTTGAAGAGGAAGAACAAATGAAGAGTTCATCTAAGGTAGTCAAGAATTGTGATTAATGATCCTTTTATTGCATTCAAAATTGTTAATTGATGATTTGAAATTATCAATTCAATAGGATTTAGAAGGAAAATCAATTGGCAACAAAAGGCTAAAGGTTGCTGATGTCATTCCTCGATCATTTGAAAAGAAAAGTAACTCCGGTGTTGCTTTCCAACAAGAATCCCCACAAAATATTGATACTGCATTAGATAAGGAGAATGAAGGGGTCGATGTTCCTTCAAATGGGGCATTGGATGCTGAAACAAATGATGATAATTTGGCGGTTGATGGTTCCGTGTCAAAGACAAGAAGTTTGCGTGATGTAGTGACCCCTCTAGCTCATCTGTCCTATGCTGATCAATTGGAGCAGAAGAAAAGCTCCCTCATGCAGATTCTCAAAAGACTTGTTAGTCATGATTGTTTTTATTTTAATTTTTATCGTCATAGCTTTATCTATTACACGTATTTCTTACTTTTATGAAGAATCAGCAAACTGAACTACGAAAAATATTTCTTGCAGACTAGAAATGCACGTAAAGCTTGTCCAACTGGGATTTCTCTTCCTGAGTGGATCCTCAAGTCTAGGGAAATAGGTACTGTTTTATATCTTAGAAGTTCCTCCAAATCTCCAAGAACAATTTTAATTTATAATTCTGGAGTTTAAGACTGGATTAGAGTGATATCTTGGAAATATCTTATGCAGATGCTTTCTTCATAATTCAGTGCACCCCCTATGGGTTCTTTCTGTAATCTAGTTTACTTTAAAAAGTACGGTGAAAATTTTAATGGCTCATACAGTTATTTTGCCATTTCTTTCTCATGCATCTGCAGGTGGTCTTCCATGCAAACTAGAGGGTATAATTGCATCACCAATTGTAAATGGATATCGTAATAAATGTGAATTTTCAGTTGGATATTCTCTGAAAGGCAAAATAACAGTGGGCTTCATGCTTGGAAACTTCAGGTAATCCACATCTTCTGTTTTTAGAGTGCTTTGCTTGTAAGTTGCTACTTGTATACTAAAATATTACAGCAGGGAGGGTGTAACAGCAGTTGAGGAAGCAGTGGACTGCCCAAATGTTTCTACAGTTGCTTGCAAATATGCTACTATCTTTCAGGAATTTTTGCAACATACTGATTTACCAGTTTGGAACAGATTTAAAAATTCTGGATTTTGGCGTCAATTAACGGTATAATTTTGCTGGATTTGGTGTTGAAAATTTTATGGCCACTTTAATTATTGTTTTTGAATATGTGCTGGATATTTTTTTAAGGCTGCGTACAAAGATTGCCCTCACCCCACACTCGCTAGTCGGGTTTAATTGTGGAGTGGGTTTTGAAATATGTGCTGGATATTTGATTTTATTTGATTATATAATTATTTTTACCCTTTTTTGAAGCTAATTTGTTTTCACATTTCACTTGTAAGGTTCGAGAAGGGAGGACAAATGGGAATGTTGTTGATGCTGATACTTTAGGCGGTATTGCAGAGGTCATGCTTATTGTGCAGGTCAATTTCTTTCTTTGTTTCTTTTTGGGTGAATGTGCAGGTTAAGTGTTTGCAATACTCTTTAGGGTGGGCAATGGTTTCTTGTCCATAAGTATATTTAAGGCTCAACGTGACTGTGAACATTCAGATGGAATAGGTTGACAAACCAAATCAATATTTGCTGGTATTATTATGTAAAAATTGTATACTTGTGATATGGTTTATATGTAGGTGGACTAGACCCCTGATTACTTGAAGCTTATTATTTGTGTATCTTTTTTTGTTTTTTAAAACGTCATTCATAACATTTTGCCTTTGATCTTGATTATAGGTTTCTACTGCAAGCTTTGATGATGCACAAGTAGCTGCTGAATTTAAGAGGCTTGCTCAGGCATTTGTTGAAGGAGCTACTTCGCATTGTCCAACATTGCCCCTTACAGCTGTGGTTGTTCAGGTAGCAGCCCTTCTAATCCAAGTTTCATTTGTCGGAGATTGGTACTTAAGTATTCATTGCCATACATGTTCATTACCATGTAATATAAATTGGAAAAATACAATGATGTTACTGTTCCAGTGTTTGCTAGATACTAGATATGTTTCTCTCTCTCTCTCTCTTTCAGCATCAGTAGATTAGGTTCCTTTTTATTAAAAAAAATTCCATAACATTACTATCTTATCAAATACCTTGATTTTGCATATGATATCAATTCTCAAATGCATGTTCCACAGCTAATTTCATTGGATAAATGATCTAAAATGGCTGGTTGAGTCTATTAAATCGACTATCATTGCCTTTGGGCAGTATGGAAATATGTTTCTCATTTCAGCAATAAACCTGTAGTCCATGTAACATCATTAGAGGCACTGCTAAATTATTGTTTCTGATGCACGGTCAATATGAATCTAGAGAAGTAGTTTAAGATTTTATAATTGTTTCCATGGATTAATAGTTTCTGCCTGAATTTCTAATGTCCCTTTCATTGGTTCCACTATAAATTTTTGTCCATTTGCTGAGGTAGATATTTGATGATTTGCTTTTAATTTTGATGGCATGTTATGCTATAATGTAATTTTTTGAATGACTTCTGATGTTATAATTGGTTTTGCATGTAGGATCACCAAGGAATATCCAATGTAGCACCAGCTGATGCACCCCTGCGTTTAATTCCCATTCCTAAAGCAGTTGATGATCCTGAGATGGATGAAAGTAATAATGCCATGGATGTAAGAATCCATGATTATATCAGCAATCTCCGGTTCTCTATATCGCCAACAGCATTTTTTCAGGTTGGAATGGCAATCATTGTTTTGCACTGATTTCAAGGGCATTTTTTTTTGTCATGGTATATGGAGTTTTGTGTCTACTTCTCCTTCAGGTTAACACTCTTGCTGCCGAGAAGTTATACTCACTTGCTGGAGATTGGGCATGCTTAGGTCCTGATACATTGCTATTTGATATATGCTGTGGGACAGGAACAATTGGCTTGACATTAGCACATCGAGTTGGTATGGTAATAATCTCCATTTAAGTTCCGTTCTTCTTTTTTGGCTAGCAGGTTGTATATTTGGGAATTGACTGTTCATTGTTCAATGTGCCCTTTTGGAAAGTGATAATATATGATGTAATAATTACCCTTTTTTGTAGAGGCTAAATGAAACTTTCAGACCGGACAAATTTTCCTCAACCTATTGTCTATGAATTAAGGGCTTATTTTCCAAAAAAAATTATTTTCTACAAATTGCTTGAGCTAGATTTGTTTTGGATTCTTTCAGGTGATTGGAATTGAAATGAACGCTTCTGCTGTATCTGATGCTCATAGGAATGCGGAGATTAATGGCATAAAAAACTGCAGATTTATATGTGCAAAGGTGAGATCAGCGGTCTATTTTAAATCCTGGTTGAATTATATTATATCTGCTGCCCAGAAATAAGGCTCCAATTTTTAGTTTGTCTCACATGTTGGCACTAAGAGGACAGGCCTGGAGGAGTAGTACAGTTGCTCCTTTGTGTCTGAAAAGTCACTGGTTCAAATCCTTGAAATAACTTTTTTGCAAATATGTAATAGTAAGGTTGCTTACAAGAATTGTTCTCATGGAGAGTGATTTTTCATGATATGTTGGCACTGAAAATTTTATCTCATGGAATTTTTTTCGATTTGATTTAATTATTTATTTGTAGTAATATTGGAACTTTTGAATGCTGGCTTTATGAGGCAACAGGCTGAGGACGTGATGGGATCCTTGTTAAGGGAACACCTAAATGTGCCTAAGGAACAAGTTGATGATCCTAATATCTCTAGTAGTGGCAGCGACATTCCTGAGGGTAGTGGGTGCCCAGAGCCTGAAAATGGTGACATGGCATCTCATTGTTCAGAAAATGACAACACAGAAGTTGGAAGTGAGGTTCCGAAGGGTAGCACTTCCGAAAATGGGAATACTTCCACTCAACATTTTAAAAATGTTGTTGCTATTGTTGATCCTCCACGTGCTGGACTTCATCCTACTGTAAGAATCCTACTCTATAGTTTCTGCATTATATATATGCAAGTGATTACAACCATAATTCTAATAGCACATGGTTCAAAACATGGTATAATTTCCATGAATTTTTATTTTTCTTCTTATCTAGTTGTCTACCCTTTTTTGAAAGGCTTAATAGAGAGGAATGTTATTTATTTGTCTTTTGAAGTACATAATAAGGTTTTGGAACAAAAGAAGATTACAAAAATCAGGTTCAATTAAGTGCAGCTGAACTGATATCTCGCCTGGTCTTTACCGGGGGATGGGAGGCATTCCCCCTTTTGGTCGAACAATACCTTCACTAGAATCAAAAAATAAAAGAAATAAATCAGGTTCATATTTTTACTTAAAATTCAACTAAGTAATATTGTGATTTGATGTCATTCACCGTCTGGTTTCGTGTGGTCCTGTTCCACAATTCTATGGAAATGATCATTACAGTGATTTTCTTTACATACCATTGTTCCAACATGTCTTCTGTTGGAATATTTTTCTTGTTCCACTCGACTGCAGAATACAATACGGTATATGACAGTCCTCTATGTTGCTGAACGGATTTTATTTTTTTTACCAGATTTTTTTTTTTTTGGTTATATTTTTCTCTTAAACTTGATTTTCTGACTTTTGAATTGTGAGATCACAGGTGATCAAAGCTTTGAGAACTCATCCACGCCTGCGGAGGCTTGTGTTAGTTCTTGTTCTGAATTATGCTATACTCTTATTTAAGTAATTTCTATTTTTCTATGCAATCTAATTGTGCAACTTCAAATGCAGTTACATATCCTGTAATCCTGAAAGCTTGGTGGCAAATGCTATTGAGCTTTGTACGCCATCCCCCATAAAGATTGAGAAAGGAAATAAAGACAACAGAGGATGGAGAAACATGAGCAGTGCTGGTTTAGCACGGCATAGGGCCAAGTCTATGCCTATATCAGAGGCCTTCCAACCCATTAAAGCTATGGCTGTTGATCTTTTTCCACATACTCAACACTGTGAATTGGTTATGCTTCTTGAGAGATAGGTGGGCCAGAGTTTGGGACTAAGTTTATTTTGTTTGCTATTCTCAAATTCATTTCTCCGAGATTTTTTGCTGCATTCTAATCGGTGATAGTATGTTAGTGCTTGTTAAATTTTGATCTTGGGCACTGTGAATTATGCTCAAGCATTACCTCCGATTTTGCTGCGTGTATCATGAAGCAATATCTGCATCTTGTCCTTTTCATGGGGACCTAGTTTGAGTATTGCTTGAAAGTTATTTAGGGTTTTCCTGAATTATGGACATTCTTTTTAATTTCATTATGGTGCCCGGTGGGAAATAATTATTGCATCATATTAGAGCACCAATTAATCCTCCAAGAAGATATCTACCATTCATTTTAGTCACACTCAAATAAAGTTAGTGTGTTTTTTTTTTTTTTGGTAGTCTAAAGTTAGTGTGTTTAGATAAGCTTTGAAAAAGTCTTCATATATTTTTTTAAAGCATTTTTTTTCCCGAATCTATTCTTTTCTTGTGAGATAAGCACAGAATTTTTCAAGTTCTCACCCCCTCCCCCAAACTTGAGTTTCTTCGAGTCTTTTTTCTATCTCGAAACAAATGGGAATTACAGTGTTTTGTAGCGGTGTGTATAATTCGGTTCGGTATTTTTAGCTGAACCGAATAGAATTAGAAAAAAATGTATTCCATTTTGGAGAATTGAACTGATTTATGTTTTGGATCGAGTTTTTTATTAGTTTTTGAACCAATTTTAAACTTGTACACCAATCATATATGAACAATAGATCTAGTTCAATATATCAGATTACATATGGTAACATGTAAAAAAAAAAAACCAATTCTGTTTAGTCATTGGATTTTTAAATTAGTTTGACTCATGAGTTGGTTTTTTAAAATCAGTTTAGTTCATGAATTAATTTTTAAAAAATCAGTTAATTTCATGAATTGTTTAAAAAAAAATCTTTGAACCGTACGTGTCATCGCTTTTCAATGTAAAATTGGAGAAAATCACAAAAACACCCAACAGTGTGTTTACTAACTCACAAAACTGGTGGGTAAAGGGGGAATTTTGCCCCTGTACACCGTGATTTCTGCTTTAATTGTTGCTCAATAAATATGTTATAATTTCCCGTGGCTTTCGCCAACAGCATACGTCGTTTTTTATTTTTTTGTAATAACATGCGTGGTTATTTAGATTGCACTACTTAGCTTCCTTTATGATAATTCTGTATAGATCTGGGAGTAGAAGTTCTTGTATACTACTCCAATCTAACTAATTAAAACGTAACACGTGATACAAAAATTTACTCTCTGCTGCCGAATTAAATTTATAATGTTTTTTTTATAAACCATCTAGCAGCCACCAAATAATTGGGATTCGATTCGAGTTGGATAGGATTGGTGAAGTTGGAATAATTTTGCTGCTGCAATTTCATTAGCGTGCATAGTTGTAAATTTAAAATGCATTTTAATATTTTTTGTACACTATATTACTTAAGTGTGTTATAGACGTGAGTTATTGCTATCTTTAACTTCAACCACTGCTTAAATTTTTCGTGTCAACCTACATAATCGATATTCACGTTCAGTGTTGTGACTCTTAGAAGTGGAGCTTATGGCCAAGAGTAGACAATTAGTGGTTTAAGTTGGCATTTCATAGTTTCGACATGTGTCTGTCACGTCAAAACAATAATGCTCATCGCTGTTTAGTTTGTTGGAGATGAGTCATTCAAATACACTTAACCTGACTTCAATTCGTGAACCATCTAATTTTCCATTTAAAATATATATAAAGAGACTCATTTTCCGTGCTCCCACTGGCACTGGCACACTTATTTGACCCTCGAGTTAATACCCAACTAACGCAGAAGGAAAATCAGAAACGGGTCTTTGAATTATTTGACAAATGGAGTTAGGCTACTAGTAATGTCAAATTGAGATTTGAGAATAACATTGTTTCTTTGCTACGTTGCATACCAGATTTTTAATTTAATTGTTAGTTGCTGCTACATTGGGGTTCATTGGATCTTTTGCTAGTGGTGCCACTATCAAACCCTCCGTATTTGTCTTGGGGATCAAAGAACATGATATTCGAATTGGACTATTTGAATGAATATATCCATAACTTTATCGAATAATTAATTGCTCATGTGATTAATTATTTTTCAGATTTAACATATTTGTTGTTCATTCTTCTGTCTCTTTCATCTCTCTTTTTCATCAAATAACTTTGTGGTATGTTTTTTTTTTGTTATATGAGAAAAAACATGCCTCTTGAGGGTTTTTTTTTTTTAAAAAAAAAAATAGACGAGCTTCAAATGTTTTGTATCTACGACATGAAAGAAGCTATCTTACGTGACATGAGAGTCATTAACCCTAATAGCTTTAGCTTGCAACACGTATAAATCTCTACTTTCTTTTTCTACCCCCGGGGTCCCTTGCTCCTTTGTCCAAACGTACTAGAAAAACTTCTGAGCACATATTCTGTATTATTTTAAAAATATATTCTCGTATTCGAATGCTTTTATTCCTTTTTCTTTTTCTTGTCAGAAGTATTTTCTTTTTCTCAATTAGCGTTTCTTTTGACCGGTTTGGAATTGGAAGCTATGCAATTTCAAAATGTTCAAAGTGTTTCACCCTTTTCGTTGTTTATGGCAACAGTGTCTTTTTCCCCACTACAAGTTCGGACTTTCCTTTTCTTGACTAAATGAATCATATATTTTACCTTATAGTAACATCCACCTCAGGTCCACTACCTCTATCTTGGGAGTGTAAAAGGTTATTTCATTCTTTAAATTTTCAATCTTTTGCTCTTCCATCTCCGTAAGTATACTTTATTGTTTGTTTGTTGTTGCTTATGTTGCAGTCACACTGATACGAGATATGACACGTCGAAATACATTTATTCTAAAAAATATCATATTTTGACATGTTAGGATATATTTTGATATTAAATAATATATATATATATATAATATAATTTATATTTAATACATATAACAGCTTATAATAAGTCATATAACCAATAAAATATTCGAATTTAATAATATAAATATAAACAAAAATAATTTTTCGTAGCTAATTAATTTTTCATGTCAAATTTCATAATAGAAAAATATTGATTTATAAATTATTTTTTTATGTTTAGTTAATAAAATAAAATTTAGACCTTAAAAAAAAAACATGTCGAAAGTTTGTCGGCAGAAAAAATTGACCGCGTCTCGAAAAATCGTGTTAAAATATTGATCGTGTGTCCTAAAATATTGCACATATGTCAGAACGTGTTGTTGTCCAACATGTATCTTTCAAAAAAAATTGTGTGTCCATGCTACATAGGTTGTTGCCACCATTTCTTTCTCTATCAAAAGTATTTAGTATTAAAAACCTGGAAAATATTTATCTCATATTGCATGAGATAATCTCATGCAAAAGAGATAAAGTAGTGAGATTCATATTATTTTTTTATTTTTTATAAATGGTGGACCTCACTATCTTATCTCTGTTGCATGAGATATATATCCCTAAAAACTTATAAGTAGTTATAATGTTAATCAATTATGTGGTTTGAGTTTGGGCAGAAAAGTCAGGAAGAAGGAAACAAACTTATCTATCTACAAATGGGAATGAATGAATAATGAAAAAAACAGCATTTATAGCGCCATGACATCTCACCCATCATAGCTTTCCATTTCCTTGTCATGAAAATGAACTGATTCGGTGATGGTGGCTAAGAGTTTAAGAGGGAGGTTATACTTATAATTTTTTTTTTCTTATCATCTTTTACAATTATTTTTATAGTTATTGGAACAAAATTAAATCAACAGTTACAATCACTTACAATCACATTCATTTTTATATAAGTGTGACAGATAAAATTTTTATGTAATAAAAGTAAAAATGTTTTTTTCCTTATAATAAATAAATATAAACAAGCAGCATCAATGTAAGTATGATGTTTTAATTTTGTTGGAATCGTAAACTTCAAATGTGACACATTGATTGTTGTGTGTGTCTCTAATGAAACCAAAGTGTTTGTTATAATTCTGAAAGACATTTTCAGAAGGGGAAAACAAAAGGGTACTCTTTATTTCAACCTTGAATTCTTTATTTTTGTCACATCAAAACCAGAACCTGATAAGCATCTCGTGGTAAAAGAAAAAGTAAAGGTTTTGATTAAGCTTTCTAAATAATCATAAGAGCGTCTACTCGAAATGCTTCTGTCAAGCCCTTTGTTTGATACTTTAATTTAAAACTATGGGAAAGCAAGGAAAGGAGAAAGTTAAAAAGGGTAATCTATCTTTACAATAATGCATGGAGAAAACAAAAAAGAAGAAGAAAATCTTATCTATTTTCACCCTGTACACACATATATTATATATTCTCGTTTCTTTTCTAGTTGAAAAAATGAAGGTGATTGAATAGCACTCACATGTGAATGAATATATTATTATGCAAAGAACTCGAGTTTTGGATGATTCAGTTAGGTATCTATCAGTGTCAATATAGTATCATTGTTACTGCTAGCGTAGAAGAATTGACTCTCTATAGTCTATAATATATATCTACCTGAAGTTGATATGAGAATATATTTTATGATAACGTTTGTTACGTTGTAAGAGATAATTTTATTTTTTACATATATATAAAATATAAAAGTGTGTGGGGTCCACGTGGAATCATATAAAGAGAAGAGAGAAAAAAATAACATAGGTTCAACATACTTTTATGTATGTGTAGCAGATAAAATTATTTCTTACAATCCATATTTATACATACAAATAAAAAATGGATGCAAAGTAGAATCACCTTTATTGACATGTAGTGGTGCAATTAAATGATGCTTAATCATATGGTTCCTAGTAAACAGTTTATTATGCATTAAGACATTTTCAAACATAAGCACTAATTCTATATGTGGGGTTGGACACTGCTTTTCCTTTTCTTTTTCTAAAAGATCTGAAATTGTTTTATTTCTTTTCTTCTTTTCCTCCACTTTTTCACTGTTCCTTCAGCTGGCTGAGTTGGCACTTGATTCTTTTGATAATGCAATGAAAGGACAAACTCAAAGCAAAGAAGCGGGGTCTCTTGAAGTTGAAGTGAACAAGGAACCTAACCCTACCGTTACGTTTATCTCTGGTGGATGGAACACAGGCCACATTAATTATAATTATGTATCCCATGTGGCTGAACATAAATTTCGTTCAACCCTTTCACACTTCACAGTTTTCAAATTTTTCAAAATGAATAATAATTTTCCGTGCATTCAATCTGTACCAGAGACAGAGTTTGTGAATTATGCTATTCGTGTTCCCTTCTATGTTAATTTTGTGATGATCGAGTCTAATGAAATTTCCTTAATAGTGTTATTTTTAACAAAATAAAAACTACCTAGTAGGCTAGTCCTGTCTTTTGCACGAGATTATTTATTGTGGTCCGGGACCATCATTTTTTAAGTTATCCTTTAGTGTAAATGCAAAGATAAAAGTAGAAAAGAGAAAAACTAACAAGGGGTTAAAAAGAGAAAGAAAAAATTGATGTTGTGAGAAGAAACATGAAATTATTGAGTGGTCCTAGAGCATAAAAAATATTTTCCCTTTGCACGTCACGAAGGAACAGAGACAATTTTTTCTGTTATATATTTGTCCGGAGAAACTGCGTTACAATAATTGCGTGAATACAACAGCATTTCGGGAGCAAGTTGCTTCATTTACCTGCCTTCTGCAACACCACTAATCTATTCGGTAAAAATTCCTTTAAAAATCATGTTTTTCTTAAAAGTCGATAAGCAATTTTTTTTTTTAGATATTTCAATCGGTTCATTGCTTCACGACTAGTTCAATTCAAAACGGATTCTAGAATTAAAATTTTAAACTCCTCCCAAAATAGGATACTCACATACAACTCTTATTCCCACCAATTTAATTCTCTGATGTCAATTGAGCTAGCTACCATGCTACCATGAGATAAGCAACTATCTTATATATAGTTTAGAAGTTGCATGCACTAAAAAAAACTGTAAATTGACACGTGAAAGTTATATTTATAATTTTTTTTTGCCTCACCATATTTTATAACTTAATCTATTTTAATTGAATCAAAATCAAATCAACAGTTATAAAATAATATCAAGTGAGAATTATAAATTTGATTTTAATTCAACTATGATAAAATGGGTATAAAAGATTATAAGAAAAAAAAAAGTAAATGATAAACATAACTTATCCCCGTTGTAATTTGACACTATTCAGCCCGATAAGGTAGTCTCATGGGTTAATATGTAAATCGAGCTATAACAACTAATATGGAAAAAATCAAATCTCTATAGTGGTCGGTCTAAGATGCAATGTTATTATTTCTGCCCTAAAAACGGAGAAAAAAAGATGGTGATATGTTCTACAAGAGTACTTGTATGTAATTAGTTGTGTATTTCCTTTCTTGTGGGAAATATTAGTTATAAACCGTGTAATAAACTCAATTTATTGGTCCAAAACAGGCACAAATGTTTATATTCTATTTAATACAAAAATAATATTTTAATATGTAATTAGTTTAATTTATATTTTGTATAAACTAAATTTAAATAAAAAAACTTTTATAAATGGAAATATGTTTATTCTTACATTATAATAATTTAAGATTATATAACCTACTTGAAAGGTGTATAGTCGTTTCCTTTCCATCAAAGTTGGGATTAGGAGTGAATCCGTGAATGTGACTGGAAGCTGCATCTTTTCTACCCTCTATCTTTATCCCTTTAACTTTCTCTATTCTCCATTCCTTTATTAATTTGAATAATGCTACATAAATATCATTATATTACATTAAACTTTTGAATAATACTACGAGAATGGTTATATTGATAATTTTTTTTTTTTTTTTTTTATAAACTTCCAAATTACATTATGTTTTACTTATAAGACTTCAATCAAAAGTGTTTTATCAGTAAGATATAATATAGTTTGTAAATAAAAAATTTATTATCAATAAGACATAGGAGAAGGATATTGTAACAACCAAGTTATGTTATTACCAAGTTACTACCAATCAATTTCATTGTTAGATTGATTATATTGATCCAACGGTTATATTTATTTTCATCGTTGTATGGTTATAATTTCCTATAATAACATGATAGTAACACAACTTAGTTGTTACAATATTCTTTCCACGTAATATAGTTCGTAAATAAAAAGTCTATAGATATAACTTTTTCATAATATTATATGATAATATTTGTTTGACATAACATTATCTGAATATTTTATTAATCGTGAGAATAATGCACAAAGTCATCAAGCAGTGGAGACTAAATGTGAGAGTAAGAGTGGCTGGCTAACCAAGTAGGCCAAGCTTCCCCACCACCAGTCACCAAAATGGTGTCATAAATGTGAGAATTTAGGTCTTTGTGCTTAATCACATTCACTTACTCTTATCTCTGTAACACAAAATATTTAAGGTCTTTCCTTCTCCCACTACCTGTCTCTGTCTCTGTCATCACTTATCTCTCTTATGCACTAAGCAATAAGTAAGTGGCATGGGTATGATTGCTGTTTTCAAGTTCTGAAATTTATTGACTATTTTGCTTGTTCTTGGAATTCCTATTTCTGGGTTTGTATTCTTTTTGCAACACCGAAATGAGTACTGAGGAAATGCCTGTGAGTGAGGAACATGATGCGGCTTCTTGTAGAAGAACAGTTTCTCTTCCAGTTCACAAGGTACTTTTTGCTATTCACTTGTTGCTGCTGCTTCTTCATCTTTACCTTCAGCCTTGTTTCAAGGACTATTCTTTATTTGAATCTCTTCTCTTTCTTAGTCATCTCATCTGTTTGTACTTTGATTTCATCTTCTCTTAGTTTTGTGATGATTCTTTAGACTGAGATCTTCTCATTTTTTCTTTTGCCATGTGCCCAACACTTGAACCAATCGTTATGACAGTAAAGTTTTTCTTTTTTTAAAAAAATTGTTTTCAATAACTAGGGCCTAGGGGACTTTTGGCTTATATATATATATATATACACACACACACACACCAACTGTATCCGTGGGATATATTTTTGTAAGATAATATCTTTCTTTGTGTGAATTTTAATCATTTTTTATTGCTAGCATGTTTGTACTGATTTTGTTACGAGTCTGGATTTTTGGAAGGTTAGAATTGTGGTAGTTGTGTTTGGGAATAAGGAAGAGAAGATAAAAGAGAGAAATGATTGGTATTATTGATGAAAGAGCAATGAATGAAAACAAAAAGGAAATCATCTTATCTCACTGAGCACTCTCAATCTTACAACAAATCTCTAAAAGTGATTTTGAAATAGGAGATGATCCCATTTTATACAAGTGATAGGGCTTCTCCGGAAAGCCACCTGTTAACAACCACTTGCTAACTGACTAAATAACTAAATTGCTGTCTAACTAACAAGACTGAGCTTATGTGTGTGCATGAAAACTGAGCTTGTAGTTGAATTTCACCATTGGTGGAATGTAATGTTACACTCATAATAAAATTGGGGATATGAATTACTGATTCTGTGAAATCATTCTTTTAGAATTCTGATTTGTTGATTTAATTGAAAGCAATTGTACTTGAAAGGATTTCAAAATTCAATGATTGCATAAATGTTTATCATTCAAATACACATCCAATGCATTATACTCTTCCCTACTTTCTGCTGCTAAACAGCAGCAGTTTGAATGCTTGTTTATATTTTTCTTCCCTGTAATAAAAGATTCAAAGGGATGAATCCATTTATTCAAATATTTATATAATTTGCAATATCTGTTATATGCAGTATGCTAAACCGATATTAATCTTAAATAAAGGATCTGTGGCTGATATCTTTTATTAATATTGGTGGTTTGGTCCTCTGACAGTTTATTTGGTTCTTTTATTTCTAATTCATTTGGTAAATGTGCCATCATGCAAATCTTTAATCTATGATAATGTGATTTTTATTTATTACGAGATTCCATGTTCCAAAACTATAGCAGTTTTTTCACTGGAGGGTGGAAGAATTTGCTTATTAAGAAGGCAGATAAATTCAGTAGCCCAGTTTTAATTAGTCTAATTCTATTGTAGTTTGGTGGGTTTCAAGCTTACTCTAGGAAAAAAGAGTGGGTGACTACTTTGATAGTTTTATTAGTTGTAATGTAGTTCAGTTGTATTTCAGTGCCTGCATCACTTATTTTGTCAATTCCATATTGTGTTTATAGGTTGATGATCCAATGGGGATAACTGAAGAAACCACACATGTTCCTCCTCGGAAGCGACAGAATCTTCTCCTAGAAATACCGTCAAGAACACCAGACGAGTGTTCCAAAGATTTTGTTGCAGTTAAAATGCCACTGACACCAAGTCCCACTCCCACACCCAAGAGAGTGAATTTTCTTGTGAGTTCTCGCTCTGTAGATGCTCCAACAAATAATTCTCCGGGGCCTTCAACATCAAAAGGCAAATCATCTATAAGAAACCTCCTACCAAAATTGAGTTTCAGGTATCGAACACCATTAGATATTGAAAAGTCTACTAGTGGAGCTCCAGAAATTTCCTCTTCAGGCCATCGAGAAAAGCCTTCAATCTCAAGATCATTGTCCCTTAGTAAGATATTTACTCCTAGGATTAAGAGAATGTCATCATTACCAGAAGAAGAAATTGGACATTCAAACCCAGAATCTGCTCATGCCGGAAGTGTTGGTGGTCCTCCAAATGTAAGACTTAAAGCAGTGTGATGATAAAATTTTAAAATGTCTCTGTTATATCTATAATTAGTAGGTGTCTTGGATTTTCATTAAGAAATAATTATAGCATAGTGTCTTATATCTTTCCTGGACTTGTTCCACTGAAGTTATTGTTTCATAAAGATTTACTAGCATGGAATTTATTTACATTGAAAAATTACTTTCTACATTACATTTGAGTAGAAAGTAATGTAGAATCTTGCACCATAGAAATAACGTTACCCTTTGTTTTAACCTATTAGTTCCTTTTACAGAAAAGAGAGGCCCAGAAGAAGATAGCTCGCTCTCTTTCAGTGCCTGTCAACAGCAAAGAAAAAAGCATAAGGAGGATGGATTCATTTTTCCGTGTTGTTCCTTCTACTCCTCGAGTAAAGGAAGGAAATGAATTGTTGACCACTTCTCCAACAAAGGATACTGGTATTCCATTATAAGCACTTGCATTTGCACTCACGAAAAATGAGGGAATTTTATATGTCAAATTTCTAACGGGATTGACCCAGTTATGATGCCAAGCATTAGTATTATTAAAACTTAAGACAAAATGTCAACATAATATTTGTAAGAGTGCTTCCTAAGTCATATCAAAACACAATTCTTTTGGAGTATCAGAATGCTTTCTTTATTTTTAACTCTTTCCTGACCTTCTTTCAAGGCAATTTTGTTTAATGTCCAATTTTAAAACAATTACTGTTTCTTATCCTACGAGCTGTTAGTAACTAGCCTTAAATAATTTCTTGGTTCAGAAAATGACGGTTCTAATGGTGAAGACATACCTGAAGAAGAGGCAGTATGTAGAATCTGTCTGGTTGATCTATGTGAAGGAGGTGAGACCTTCAAGTTGGAATGCAGCTGCAAAGGTGAACTTGCTCTGGCTCACCAAGAATGTGCTATTAAATGGTTTAGTATCAAGGGTAACAAGACCTGTGATGTGTGTAAGGAGGATGTTCGGAACCTACCTGTGACACTATTACGGATCCAAAGCATTCGCAGTCGGATTACTGGAGCAAATAGGTTTCAGCAGGAAGATGGAAATGGGTTCAGGCATGTGTATTTACTTTGGTTTGATAAAGATCATTTCTGATGAATGAGTTATGACTATATGCTTCAATTAGGAGCTAAGTAAATATCATAGAATCTTACAAGATCCATACTTCAATAATCACGAACCAACATCCTGACACATTCATTATTTAACTAAAATTTGCATTATTTTCCCTGGTTGCCACTGCTTTCATGTATGCAATAATGGTTATGACATTATCTAATGGGACCAACTTAGTTTTCTGTCATGCCTTGAAATTTAAGCAATGAACTCGCATGCTACCTCAAGAGTTTTTAGTTTGTGATACAAATCATGTATGATACTTATGAAGTCAACATTTTTCCTTGGAATTCTTCAGCCACTACAAGTGTATTGTCTTTTTCTTTCAAGTGGAATAAAGTGTTCACGTTATATCTTTGTTGACAGATTCTTGTACTGTGGGTTACTACTACAGATTCACGCTTTCATTTTTTTCTGCTCAATTTAATAGGATTTGGCAGGAAGTCCCAGTGCTTGTCATTGTCAGCATGCTTGCCTATTTCTGTTTTCTTGAGCAGCTATTGGTAAGAGCAACAATCCTCTCGTTTCTGAACTGTCAAGTTGCAATTTTGTATAGGCTCAGTTATTCAGCTCTCTGCAGGTTGAAAAAATGGGAACCGGTGCAATTGCCATATCTCTTCCATTTTCCTGTGTACTGGGTCTACTCTCCTCCATGACATCATCAACCATGGGTAGGTTTGCAAAGCATTGGTAAATACTGTCAATATACTTTTCCAGAGAACTGATCATCCTTTAAAATTTACAATGGTGAATTAGTCGAAGTCATTTGATCATGCTAGCAACAGACTGCACCTTTGGCAGATTTGTTTATCATTGATTAACATTATATATAGAGGTTTAAATCGTCTAAAATGATGTGGCAATTTCTGATAGATTTATGACGCTGAATGATTCCTATTTTCTTAACAAGTAAAATTATAGATTTTTTATTCATGATGGCACTTATTTTTCTTTTTTTTTCTAATTTCAATATTTCATGATGCTAGATTGGGTTTCACTGATATATGCCAAACCTAACATTGTTTTTAAAACTTTTGTGTCCAGTGAAGAGCAGGTTCATCTGGATTTATGCATCTGTTCAGTTTGCTCTTGTGGTTCTCTTCGCACATATATTTTACTCCGTGGTAATGGATTTTTGAGGGAACTATATTCTTGTTATCTGTATTTTTCACTTCACTTGAAACCAAGATTGATAAAATTATATGAGAAATAAATGGTCGAATGAATCAAGTGCTAGGTTTTCATCACTAATAGAAAAATGTGTGTATGAGATTGGGCACAGATGAAATTCTGTCCTCTGAGAATTTTTATTGTAACACAACAATTTCTTGGGAGATGTAATGGAACAATATATTTCCAACTAGATTCTAGCTAAGTTCTGGTTTATGCATATCCTGATACCACAAGCTAGTCACCCATGCCTAATTGCCAAAGAAGCACTAGCAGTCTAGGCTTCTAGCTAAGTTCTTTTTATTTCTTTTGTCACCTGCAGGTTCATGTGCAAGCAGTTCTGTCAATTCTTCTTGCAACATTTGCTGGTTTTGGTGTGGTAATGAGTGGAAGTTCTATTCTTGTGGAGTTTTTTAGATGGAGAAGAAGATGGCTGGCTTTATCAGAGCTGCAACATGGCCCTCAACAGATGACACAAGCAGGACAATACCCTCAAACTGTAGACACGCTGCGTTCTGGCCCTCCAAATCCTAGTCAGCCAGTGTTGCAAAATCAACAGAACTCAAATCAGAGCTGAATGGATGTTTTTTGTGGCTTCTTTTAACAAGCTAGGGGCAGCAGATGGTTGTTTTTCATTCAGGGTTTGGAAGAACTTAATGTTCATAGGGAATATTACTTTACATCGACAAGAGACTTCATTGTACAGCTTATGTGTAGCACCAGAATGACTTAGAATATATAGCTTCTCTTGCTATGGAATTTCTGATTCGTTGTTTGTACTGAGCAGTTCAGCACATTAAAACCAGAAGGCTTGTGACCTTCTTTTTTGTAGTCTTGGGTGAGGGAAACAGTGATTTTGTTTTTTTGGTCAAAGTGAGAGGGACAAAATTTGAGATCATCAGTTTGTGAGTTTGTCTTTAGAAGTTTTGATCATTCATGGGCCAATGCCATGTGTAATGAATGATGGAGGAAACTAAATGGAGCATTATCCTGGAAAGGGGGATAACCCTCCTCAAGATTATGCAAACCTTTGTCTTAAAGTCATTTGGACTTAAGAAAAAGGTAATGTAATATAAATTTGCCTCCCTTCAAGTTCAGTTTTCAAGTTTTCCTCTGTGTTATTCCTTACATATGAAGTAAACTCCTAAGGTGGCGTTTGGTTGAGGAGAAATTTTAGAATACTAGATAAATTGAATTGATAGGGAAATGGTAAGAAAGTGAGATAAAGTAAGATAGATAGGAAAATGTAAAAAAAGTAGTTTGGTTGGATAAAATTTTACCAGAAAAGTATATGAAAATTTTGAAATCCTATGTTTGGTTTTGGAAAAAATATAGATAGGTAAATGATATAAAATTACGATTTAATCCCCATACCCTTATCTTAAACAAACAAACAGCCGTATGCCATTTGTATCACATCTCATTTTGTATTCAAAGGGTATATTGGTTACAAAAAAATTAAGCAAACAGTGACTTTGCCATGGTTTTACATGGTTTTACAAAAATCCACATACAAAAATGATTTCCAAACAGTGCCAAAAGCCGTCTTTTTCGGATCCAAATCAAAAACCTATGCAACTTGGATGGCTGGTTTTTTGTCTGAAAGAGCTTCACCAAACACGTGTTAGTGGAATCCTTTTGTCACTTGCCTTGGAAAGTTGGATAAAGACGCCAACCAAACGCCATCTAAAAGAGTTTTTAAAATCTGATTACGTATTGATTTATTATTACATTACTCTGCCTAAGTGTGTCACAAAATTTTCTCTCTCCGTTATTGTTTTCCATATCTACATTGCATCATCATTGCTCCATGTCCCATGCTGCTTATGAAAGAAACACTTGAATCATAACATGTTACACGTAAATTATCTCCACCCAGGAAATCTCTTCTTTGTTAGTTTGACTAAAGCTACCATTGCATTTTTTCAGAAAATTTTTATGTGATAATAATGTTTGACACAATTAATTATGATTATCATAAAAAGAGAAGTTCGTGTATGAGTAATTAATTATGAAAATTGAATATTATAAAAAGATAACCTTGTGATACTTTGAGTGCATTATATATTTGGAAGTGTCAAAATAGCGGGACAACGATCAAAATATCACATTATTCACAAAAAATTACCTGAATGCCACGTACCGGAATTTTTTTTCCAAAATGCCACGTCACCTAACTCGCTACAACACCTGGCGAGTTAGGTGTGGACACGTGGCAGCAGGTTCATGGCCACGTAAGCCGCTGCATAGTGCAGCGAGATTAGGTGACGGACAGCTTCTGCCACACGGCATAAAACGTTAGGTAGCTTGGCGTGTTGCGTGTCTGACACGTGTCAAACTCGCTATGCTGCATAGCTTGTTAATACACGCGATGCTGCATAGCATGTTAATACACGCGGTGTTGCATAGCATATTATGTGCAAGTAGCCCAACACCCCAATATTTTTTGTCTAATAAATTCACCACTCCTAAAAATAATTAATCAACAGTTCTAAAATAATTTAAATTAATAAAATTAAATTAAACTAAATTAATTAACAGACAATAATTAAATTTAATTCATTTACACTCCTAAATTAAATTAAATTAGTTGACAGTTCAAAACAATTTTAACTTAACATAAACTAAAATAAATGAAATTAGTTAACACTTCTAAAAATAATTAATTAACAGTTATAAAATAATTTAAATTAATATAGACAAAATTAAACTAAATCAATTAATAAACATAATTAACACTCCTACATTAAATTAATTAACACACATAAATTAAATTAAATTAACAGTCCTAAATTAAATTATTTTAACATAAGTTATTTAAAACTAAAATAGTCAAACCAATATTAATTTTCCTTAAATGATTTTATTTCAAAATACAAAATTCAATAATTAAAACCAACTTATAATTTATTAGACCACAATGATGCAAGAAATGGGAAGGGAAGTGGTGAATTTATTAGACCAAAAATGCTGGACTGTTGGACTACTTACACATAATATGTATGCAGGATAACATGTATCGCCACGTGTCACAAAAGCTGACACGTAACATGTTATGCAGCAAGCGAGTTTGACACGTGCCAGACACGTAACACACAAAGCTGCCTAGCGCTTTATGCCATGTGACAGGCTGTGGCAGAAACTATTTGCCACATAATCTCGATGCACTATGCAACTGCTAACGTGGCTATGAACCTGCTACCATGTGTCCACGCCTAACTCGCCAGGTGTTATAGTGAGTTAGGTGACGTGGCATTTTGAAAAAAAAATTTGAGTCCATGACATTCAAGTACTTTTTTGTGAATAGTATGACATTTTGGTCGTTCTCCCCAAAATAGCCAAAGCTACAAGTTTGCATGTTTAGCCCAAATTTTTTCTTGGCTACACTAAATTTTTCTCACGCTTGAAGAATTGAATCCCTAATTATGATAGGCGGGGGCTCCTTTCATTCACAATGTCAAAAACTTAAACTAGACTTGGCCCATTGGACAAGATCGTTTAGTTTAGAAAACCTTTAGTACATGTGTAATTAGGGAGTGTTTGTTACAAATATTTATTTTGAATTCCTTGGAAAGTATAGTGGGGAGAATTAGTATGCCATGTTTGGTAGCAATAAATAGAGAACTTTTAAGGATAAGAAATTTGCCCCTTTTTTATTATCATGTGCAAAACTCTTGTACAGGAACCATGTTAAAAATTCCATAGATTAGGTGATATATTTTTTTGTCCGGCGAAGAAAAAAGTAACTAAATTGGTATGGACCAAATTATCCTACTGTCTTGAATAAGGTTCATTACATTTTTGTATGAAAAAGTAAAGGTGGGGTTATTTAAATAACTCCACATTCCTACTACTATTTTATAATCAGTCAAATATCAACTCAGTAAATTTAATTAAATATTTTCGAGACAAATTTGGGTCAACTAAACACATTTTTATAACTTATCAGAGAAAATAATATTTCTCACCATATTCTGACAAAAAAAATTTCTGATAATTTTTTTTTCTTGTATACCAAACACTCTTAGTGAAGCTGTGTTCTTACATACCGCAAGACCAAAAAAAAAGAGACATCATTTAGCTCAATTTTTTTTTTAAAAAAAAGTTGATGATATGTTTGGATATTGCGTTAGTTTACTATATTAATGGCTGTTAATTTATTATACATGAACCTTAACATAAATTTTAAAATTGAAAACAGAAAAATTCATCATAAAAACTTACGAAAATTGTGAGTCGCATTCTAACATTTACAAAGTCCCAATTTATAGGAATATTGACTAAATGTAATATTTTCTCAAAAAAATAAATAAATTTCAAATGCAACCCAAATAGTTCTTTTTACTAAACTGCCACACGTTCAAACTCGCTACGACTGTTAGCAAGTTTGGTCAGACCATGTGACACGTTCTTATTAGTGTACCAAACTCGCTACCAATAATAACAAATTTAGTAGTCTATAATTTCATAACATGTGGATACTTTTATAAGAAAAAGGCTGACTGTTTTGACCAATAAATTTATTACTATTGATAGCAAGTTTGGTACGTTAATGAGAATGTGTCATGTGGCCTAACCAAACTTGCTACCGATAGCAAATTTGAACATGTGATACTTTGGTAAAAAAATACTATTCAAATGGTATTTATTTGGGCAAATTTTTTTAAGAAACGTGACAATTTGGTCACTTTCCCAATTTATACACATGTAGGAAAAGGAAATAATTGTAGGAAATCTTAGATTTATGCGGAAGCGGTTTAGGACCTAGTACATTGGTATGCTTACCGAATCATTCTTGTTTCACAATTACCTCTCGGTGCGCAGGTCTCGTGTAGAATCTTCCCTTGTAGGATTCCTCCTCACGAACAGCTCACCTCAGCGCCGCAACACGAACAACCTCCTTGAAGCTGGACTGTGGCAGATCTTCCAGACTATCTCTCGAGGAGGATGAGATGGTTGTGTGGGCAACCGTTCAGATGATGAACGTCTGCCTCTTGGGGTTTGTTTCTGATGATCTGTTCACCTTGAAGGCACAAGAGGAGAAAACTATAAATATATACGCTTAGGTCTTAGACATAACTCAACCCTAAGCCTCATGGGCTCAAGTTTCACTGAAGCCAATAGGACTTTAGTGACCAAAAGAGCATATATCCAACAATCTCCCACTTGCTCTTTAAGATACAAACTTGAGTTCGTAAACCCAAGACCATGTGTTACAAGTTGAGAGTAATTTCTACCTGGAATTTTTATTTTTTTTTGAGTGATAATATCACTGACAACTTAACTAATAATATTAACATAATTTATCATTACTATAATTTTTGTAAAAATAAAAAAATGCCACAGCCACCTAAGTCTCTGTATTCTTTATCAGAATACAATTGATCTCCCTTTGAATTTATATATTGACATCCATACAATTGTGATTGATGGTAGTGACACAGGTGATGCTGAATACTTTACATGAGCTAACACAAAAGATCAAGATGGCACAAAATTGGGTAAGTTTCCCAAAAGCATTGATATTTATACCAGGTTATATTTATAATTTTTTATTTACAAATTTAACTATATGATTGAGTGTTTGTACTTTCTGGAACATAGTTGAATTTATAAATATCCATGATATTTTATGGATTAATTAAAAAGGTTTAAAAGAATTTAAAATCTTATTTATGATTTTTAAATTAAAATTTGCAAAAAAATAACAGATCAATTTAATAGTATTTCTTTGAGAGGAGAGATATTCTAACTACCAAAATTTTCTACTACCAACTTACTACTTATCTAATCACCATTAGATTAACATTTTCTCTCTCTTCAAAAACTTTTTAACATTCTCTCTCTTTGATCCAATAGTGATGTGATGAGTAGTAAGTTAATGGTAAGAATTTTTGGTAGTTAGAATATCCCCGCTATTTCTTTGAACTCCAAACTTGGTAGGTAAAGTGAGAGAACAAAAGGGAAACAAAACGATGTGTGTCTTTTACCAACGTGATATTATGAAGCATAGCATTGGTGAACACATTTAGCATAGAATGAATATTTCAACACGAGGACTGCTTCTTCTCAACGCTCGCTGCTTTCCCAATTTGTCCTTCCGAGGTGCCCTTTAGTCACAAACACTGTCAGTCTCTTCCTCTGTGTCTTGTTTTGAACTTCCATCAAACAGTTGGTGTGTCAATCAATAAATTAACCAAATTTGTGACCCTTAAACGCCTTTTTTCAAATTCTTGATTTTCATGGCTAAAAATAATTCCTTTGATGGCATTTAGCAACAAAAATGTTAACTTTACGCGGTATTGTACCTTTGGTGGTCTAATCTAAACCAAATTCAGTTCTGTATGTTGAAGTTTGAGCTGGGTCATGGTTATTTCTTGTTATTGTTGGGGTTGTTATTGAATGTTGATAGGTCTGACTGAACGAATGGCACTTGTGCTTTAGGGGTCCCAAGGTTGACGCTTGTTCCACGTTTGCAACAGAGTCAAGGGCTGAGAAGGGGTTTGACCAAAAACATGGCTTTGAGTTTGGATAATTGTGACTTGGGACATGAAAACAAGAATGGGGTGGTTCATCCAGCAACAGATTCTTATGCTGCAGAGGCAGTTGAAGCTTTGAAAGCTGGGAAGGTCATTGCAGTGCCCACTGATACACTTTATGGATTTGCTTGTGATGCTTGGTATGCTACTTGAATCTTATGCTCAAAATCCCTCAAGCTTCATTTTTATTTCTGACCTCTAGTTTCTTTCATATATGTTACATCTTATATTTTTCATTTTTCTTAGTTTAATGTTAGAAACAGTGCGTGCTTTGCTTTTACTACATTGGTTTCAGTTGTACTAGGTTTAAAATTCAAGCTAAAGAGATAAATGGGGAAGAAAATAAAAAGTGACTGATGAAGATAATCTTTCTTGTTGTTGTAACTTCCGTAGGGAAAAATGAAAACGCTATAGCATTGAGTAAGAATGAAGTTTGCACCACTAGATTAGTGTATTTTCAATGAAATTTAGTAATTGAATATGAATTTAGAGAGTGGCTAGCTTCTCTTGTAAAGAGCATCATGTGGACGCTTTGCTGTTGGTCTTACTGGGTTCAAAGGGGACTATAAAACTATTATAAGCCTATAACATTTCTGTTGTTTTAATTTGTGAGCCTAATATTCAGTTTTCTGACAATATATCTGATAAAGTTTTGTGTAAAAAGATTTTTTAAAAAAACCTTCAATAAAGTTTAATCTTTAAAGATGTGTTTATTGCAGTCCTCCATGAAAGGAAGCAGATGAATTATTGCGTCATGCTATATCCATTTCATACACGTTTTGATAAAATATCAATTTTCTACATAGACATCAGATGTGAGAAAAGTTGGCTCCACATGATGCCCATCCTTCTGAATGCCTGCAATATGTTTTATGTGTTTAAACAATATGCTTAAAATCTCATTGGCACTCCACAGTTTCCACATATTTAGACCAACCCTATTTCTCTGTATTCAATTGCATTCTGAGTGATTGATAATTACCTGTTACCTTGTCTTGGGGCATGTTGGCAGCTCATTGGAAGCAGTTAACAGGATTTATGAGATTAAAGGCCGTAGACATACAAGCCCTCTGGCTATTTGTGTTGGTGACGTATCGGACATAAAACGGTTTGCTGTGACTGACCATTTGCCTCACGGTCTGCTTGATTCCCTCTTACCAGGGCCTGTTACTATTGTACTAAGACGAGGTATATAAGTCGTACATATAACATGCATTCAAATCAATCAGTTTACAAAATTTGTTTGAAGCAACAATTTAGTCTTGTTTCTTCAACCCCTTTGTTCAACATATCTTCTGTGAACCTCTGATTTTTTTATTTTTTTTTTGTAAAGATCCTATATACTGTCTGATGGTATACTTGGATATTTTACAGGAGAGTCAAGTGTTCTTGAACGATCGTTGAACCCGGGATTTGATAGTATAGGAGTTAGAGTGCCCGATTGCAATTTCATCAGGATCATTGCCCGTGGTTCAGGAACTGCTCTAGCCCTTACCAGTGCAAACCTAAGTGGACAGCCAAGTAGTGTTTGCATCAAAGATTTTGAGAACCTCTGGGAACATTGTGCTTTTGTTTATGATGGTGGTTTGCTTCCATCAGGTCCTGCAGGCTCAACAGTTGTGGACCTCACTTCACCACACAAATACAAGATACTTAGACCTGGAAGGTAGCCCAAGCTAAACTCTTTTATGCTGCATTGTTTAAAATGTGAACTGTGCTATGCCAGATGCAGATGCCAAAAACTATTTCTTTTATATAATCCTTTTATCTAATATAGGATAGAAATGGTGGGAATTTTATGTTCTAATATTTCACCATGGATATCTAAAAATGAATGATGCTAGATTCATCTCCAGTTAGGAGAACTTACTTTTCATGTCCTCTGGTCAATGTGTGGTCCTCTGTGCAAAATGCGTCTGAAACACAATCATCATTTCTGTTTGAAGCCTTTTATTAACAAAAAAATGGCTCAAAACTACAGGTTTTGTAAGCCGTATGCTAGAATGTCTATCAACTCGGGTTATTTGTTTTGAATAAACCAATTCTCAGTCTTCAAGTATTATGTACATTTGATATTTTATAAATATGAATTTTATGTTGCATTACAGTTTACATTGATTGTGTTCTTGTTCCTCTGCTATTTGCAGTGCAAAGGAAGAGACAGTTGCCATCTTAGAGAAGCATTCTTTCATTGAGGAAGTGAACACTTGAATGAGCTGTGATTCATGTGCAGTGCCACGTTCTAGGCCTAATGTTTCACTTGTAAAAAACTATTCTTTCGCTTGGACATGTGAGAAGCTGTCACCGAGCCTCCTTATTTCCTTAAACTTTTTATACTTTACTCCCGCAGGATCTCTTGGACGTATGAACATACATTCGACATTATTGGAATCAAACATACTATGTTTTTAGTTGTACTAGGCTTTTTGTATCACATGATTCAAAATCTTATTATGTTTTGCAATAATAATGTCAGGTTTCAAGAACCTGATATGTTAAAAGGTAACAATGAAGATTATCAAAATTAACATTTAGTTAATGAAAATGATAGAACCAGGAAACTGGACAACTTTCTCACTAGTTCACTTATGCAATTATTCTAACAGCTGATACATTATGACCATGGTGGATTATGAATTGAAGGACTGCTTCTGTATTTGTAACATATTAGAAACATGAAGCAACCACTTGTTATCATGTGCATAACATGTTTTAGTGTTAGTCAAAGTGTTGCTTTTGTATTGTAATTCATCTGAGTATGACTAGAAAAGTCTCTCTTTTTGTGCATGTAATGAGGCACTCAAGTTCTACTGTAGTTTTGACATTTGATTGGCCAACATCTCCTGTTGTATATCTACTGCAGGCACTGAAAGTTTTCCTTTTGACACAGTTTCAGAAGAAGAATATAGATCACAGCTCCCAATTAAAGATGGGGTCGGGGGGACTCTGCAACTGCATTATGGAGACATATCAACCAGAGTGTATTTGCTGTGTCCCCACTAACGACAATTATAGTAATATGGAACAATGCCAATTCGATGACCTCAGTGAATGCAAATGTTAGATGTTATGGCACTAAGCATCATGTCACCATCAAGGCAGGAACACTTGCATATACTTACTTGTGTGACTCTGGTGAAAAAAGATGTTAGCCTAAATAGACACAAAAATCATAAATAGGATCTCAACATTTTAACAAGGTCTTATTATTTTTATGGGATTAAAATTATTTCTTATACATACATAAAAGTGTGAAGTAAATATTTTCTTTTTCGCTCTTTTATCTTCACATGAATTTTATACATTTTTATGTATGTGCAGTAGATAATTTTATTTTCTGTAATATGAAAAATATGAAATTCTATTTATATTGTCAAAACTTGCTAAGTAGGTTATTCTATCTACTCTCTTTTTTAACCTACATATGCTTATCATTTTCCAACATCATTATATATATAATAATGTTGAAAAGTGGTAGGCAGAAAAGGAGGTAGATAGAATAATCTATCCCCTCAAAGAAACAGCAGGATAGAAAACAGATAAAAGAAGCGAGAGAAAAGGAGAAATAGAGATTTAGACCATCCTGAACGTTTCTTGCCAAAAATTTGGTAGCTAGCATTACTCTTCCATCTTCATAACCCACAATTCATCATCTAAGCTTTGTTGGTACATTTTTTTCGGAGGTCCGTATCGTGATAATCAACAACTCGAGTTTGCTACTATATTATATTATATGGAAAAAGTGTTTGTCATTTTAAATGACAGAAAGTTATGTCATTTTGAGAGAGATACAGACACAGAAAATTTGAATTTTAAATTAAAAAAAAACCATTCACTTTCTCTCTCTCATGATTTCCATTTTCCTGTGTCTATCTCTCTCCTAAAATGACATAACTTATATCATTTAAAATGACAAACACCAAACTCATTATATATATAAAAAATTACATATTTTATGTTAAATGTTATAAAATAAGTAATAAAAATTATACTTTTATAAGTTAGTCTATAATTTTAAAAAATAATGCCATGCATACCCAATAATTAAACTATAATGAAAAATTGTTCGTCATTTTAAATGATATAAAGTTATGTCATTTTAGAAAAGAGATAGACACAAAATAAATTTTTATATTTAAAATTTAAATTAAAAAAAATTACCCACTTTCTCTCTCCTATGATTTTCATTTCTTGTGTTTATTTCTCTTCTGAAATGACATAATTTATATCATTTAAAATAACAAACATCAAACCCACGTGTATATATATATATATATATATATATATATATATATATATATATATATATATATATATATATATGGGAAAATCATCTATCCTTTTAAAGGATATAAGCTTATATCCTTTTAGATCCTAACCGTTGATTTCCGTCCATCCACGGGTATAATCTATTGGGTCAAACTTAATGGGCCAAAATTATTATTAATTAATTAATAATTTTGATCCAATAAATTATAACCGTTGATGGACGGAAATCAACGGTTAGGATCTAAAAGAATATAAACTTACATCCTTTAAAATGGCAGATGTTATTCCCTATATATATATATATGGGTTTTTGTTTTATCATTTAACATAACACAACAAACTTTCCTACCCTCACAACATTTTGTGGGGCCCACACTTTTTAAAACAAAAAAATAAATAAAAAATTAAGGCACGCAAAACGAATCTCTATAACATTACACAATCACTTTTCCTACAACATAACTCTTATAAAACCCTATATATATATATATATATATATATATATATATATATATTGTTAATCTGTGTAAAATATGAACAAATTATGCTCCGCAAATATTATTGTTCTGAAAGTTGGACTTTTCCACCCTCACAAAATATAAATTTAGATTGTATCTAATACATTTTAAAAAAATCAATTTAATACTAGGAATAATTAAGCAACTGCCAACTGCACGCTAGTTCACGATTCACGTAGCTATATGGTAACTGCTTAACCGCTTCTCTCCAATATACAGGTTAATATTTTCATTCTTTTATTTATTTTTTTACATTACATGGAAATTGAACACACACCACTACACTACATACACTTAACATCCACACCACTAGGCTAATCCTAGTGGATTTTTCATTCTTTTATTGAAAAAATAATGACAATAAATTTAAGGGACACTTATATTTATCACCAGGTAAATTTATCATCTTTACAACCAATCTCATCCGTTAGATTAGAATTAAATTCACCGATTTATAATTATCTCTTATAATCTTAATTTTTACTGTCTCATCCCCTTTTTGTCTCTCTCTAGATTTGAGATACACACATCTCTCTAGGTTTGAGAATCACATCTCTCATCCTCCCTTCATTGTTATTTGTTACATCTTTTCATCGTTACAGCGATTTGATCTTTAATTCCAAAAAAAAATATCTCACCAAAGCAAATAATTGGACACTGAATTAATTTTTTCCATCGTCTTTTTCCATGTTCACTGATTGCAATTCTTTTTAAACAATTTATTATGAATCAGGCTGATCACAATGCTTTTCTAAACCATATGTACGTTTTCATCATATAATGAAGGGTTTTATAAGAGTTATGTTGTAGGAAAAGTGATTGTGTAATGTTATAGAGATTCGTTTTGCGTGCCTTAGTTTTTTTTTTTTTTTTTGTTTAAAAAAGTGCGGGCCTCACAAAATGTTGTGTGTAGAAATTTTTTTGTGTCATGTGACATGATAAATGCAAATTCCTATAATGAATTGCACGCTGATTATCAATTCTTCCATTACTTTTTTTCTTTTTTTTGATAAACAATTCTTCCTTTATTTTAATAATTCATTCCTTATCAAAAATTCATTACTTTATAAACCATTCTTTTAATGGATCTTCATCCTGATCAAAATCAGTATTTTCGTTCCAAAACGACGTCGTATTAGGCTTACTGCAGATAACTTATCATTTCTCAAGCTGCTTAAGATAATTTTAACTATGACTACTAATAAAAGAAAAAATTTAGAAAAAAGGAATCATAATCATTCAAAGGTAAATCAATAAATATAAGAAAATAAACAAATAAAATAACGTAATTTTAGAATGGAAAAAAATAAACTTGAAAAAAAAAAATATATATATATATATAATGTTACGCACAATGTTACGACCACATCTTAACCGTTGATTTCCGCCAATCAACGGTTATCATTTTTCAAATCAAACTCATTAATTAATTATTAATTTGCAATAAATGATAACCGTTGATTGGCGGAAATCAACGGTTAAGATGTGGTCGTAACATTGTGCGTAACATTATTTGTGTGTCACAATATCCTATCCCTATATATAATATAGGGAAAAGTGTTTGTCATTTTAAATGACAGAAAGTTATGTCATTTTAAGAGAGAAACAGACATAGAAAATATGAATTTTAGATTAAAAAAAACCATCCACTTTCTCTCTCCCATGATTTCTGTTTTTCTGTGTCTATCTCTCTCCTAACATGACATAACTTATGTCATTTAAAATGACAAACACCAAACCCATAAATATATATATATAGGAGTATTTGAACTTTTCCCAAATTTTTAATAAAAAGGCAAATCATAGGAGTATTTGTACTTTTCGCAAAATTTTAATAAAAATATCATTATGTTTTACTGCAACGATGCATAACTAAATTCTTAATCAAGTTCTTAAACTAAATTTTTAGCCCAATCGTAATAGGCTAATGGTTATCACTCTCAGTTGTATATTCAAAATTTCATATTTCCATCTAATTACTCACAATTCAAATCACCTGAAGCACACTTAATAAATCGGCAGCTTTTTTAGTTAAACATTAATATATACTTATTTTTTTTATTCATTCATCAAATAATTAATTTCAACTTTGTACCAAAAACAAAAACAAATCAACCAAAACAACATAAAAGTAAATAATTTGAAATTATTATTAATCAGTGTTTAGTTTGAAAATATCAGTTCCCCTATCATTATTGTACCTAATACTTGTTTATTTTCAAAACTTAAGTATACACAATTACGGATAAATTTTCAGAATCTATATTAGAACTAAGGACGAAGAGAAAATTGTAATTTGCAAAACGATCGGAGCGTCAAGTTTAAAAAACCTGTTGCAATCATTCGTACATCACAAAGAATCAATAATCAAACTGAAGGAAAAAAAGAAAAAAAACCTAAAATTGTATAGTGAACACTGAATAGTGAATAGTATAACCTGTGGCGGAAGCTAAGAGATGACAAATCAAAACATGTAACACTCTATCAAAGGCTTCTACAGAAGTTCTCTCCTCGCTGCGTATCCGTACTGAGATCGTTCCATGTTCTGCCGGCGCTTTCTGTACACCAACACTCCCAATCCAACCGCACCAACACTCACTATCACTCCCACCGCTATCCCTGCCTTCTTCCCGGAACTCATTCCTCCGCCGGATGATTTACCGTCTGCAACGCCCACACCGGTGTGGCGGCTAACTCCGCTATTATCTGCTTCCGCCGGAGATGGAGATGCCCCAGGCGAAGGAGCTGGAGGCGAATCGGGATGATGAGGCGCCGGAGTTGGAGCTTGAGGTGAACTGGCCGGGGAAGTGTTCGGAGCAGGAGCGACATGAGAAGGAGAAGGAGACGGAGAAGGCGATTCGGAGGGTGAACGTGGCGCCGGATCCGGAGCCGGCGAGTCGGAGGTGGCAGTTATGTTGACTAGCGATGAAAGGAGGAAGATAAGAAGAACGGAGAATATTGCGATTGCAGGATTTGCCATCGATTGAATTGAAGAAGCTGAGTTTCGATTGAATAATGTTGGATCGGGAATTGAATTGAATTGAAATGGCGGTGACCAAGGAAGAAGAGGAAGAGAGAGATAGTGAGAAACTGTTTGAACGGAACGGAAATCAAGTAGATCTGAAGAAGTAGTGTGGTGACAAAAGAATGCGCAGTTTATAAGGGGGGTTAAACCTCGAGATTCGCAGTTTATAACGCGTGCAGACTGCAGAGTGCAAAAATTCGCGATGCACTAGAAAGTAAATCATTATCTTGAAATGTATATGAAATTAATAATCTTCTTTTGTATGATCTTATGATATTTCAATTGAAATTGTTTTGAAATTTTCACTAACTTCTTGTGTCTATTTTTTTTTCATCAATGATAATTAACATTTAGCTATTTAAAACATGTGAAAATAAATGGATAAAAATCAGGCAAAATTTTAACATAAACAGATCTATTCTTAATTTTTTTTTTTTTTTTACCTATCTCTTATTGGGCCGTTTATATTGTCTATTCTTCTTATTTTTATTGTATTTTTTTTTATTCAAAACGATGATCCGAAATAAGATTTTTTTTTGAAAGAAATATATTATACTTTGGATCTCGCATCTTTGGAGATTTTTTTGGTGGGCTTGAAGCATGGTGGTCTCTTCCCAAAATAAAAAATAAAAAGAATGACAAAGAGAAAAAATTAAAAATGAAATAAAAAATTTCATTTATGGAAAAGAAACCATTAAATAAGTGGTAGATCTGGAACATAATAAATTTTTCTCACCTTATGTTTCATTTATTGCGGATTATATGTTTTCTCTAAATAAAAAATTAAAAAACTAATTTTAATAAAATATATGAAATTAATTAATATTGACCAAACCTATTACACATCATCTTAGTCGCAACTGGTAGACAAGATTATACTTAGGGCTCTCGGAGCATTTTGGATTCGGTGGAATGAAAAAGAAAGAGAGATTGAAGAGAAGGAAACAAAATATTTCTCCAATATCATTCACAAAAGACCACCATGGTCCTCCATCATATCAAAAAATTCCGGTTGCAGTCATATACGCTAACGTTGTTTGCACAGATGCAATGTAACAGACACAACTTACTCATAGGATGGTGCTATCGTTGAGTTAGGGTGTCACTTGGGAATTTGGGAATGGTAACAGATGAGTTTGCGAAATGTCTATAATCACTTTTTCTGTACCAGTAACACGACTCATGTAAATTTACAGCAAGATTGGTGGCCACCAAACTTGCTAATTGCTATGCGCTCTAGCAAATTTAGCCGCGTCACAGTTTGAAAATATTTTGAACGCGTGGTAATCAAAAATATAATTTCTGAAAACGTGGTATTACAATCACTGTCCCTCCTAAGAACATAAATTTACATTTAATTTGAAAGTTTACGGACAAAACTTAATGAAAAAAAAAAAGTTATTTATTCAAAGAAAAAATATTTCTCGAGATAAAATTAGCTCCTATATAATATCAAAACTACATCGTTTTAAAAAATTGAGAGAATTAATAAAAAAATATTTTAACCATTTTTTTATTTTTGTTGTTATATGAATTTTACCAAACTACCATTAATTTCTCAATTCTCGAAACAATATAATTTTGAGATTATCTCTACCAGAGATGAGAGAAACGATAAACCCTTTATTATATTACAAAAAATTCAGGTATAACACAATATATTTGAAAGTTTCTTTTAGTCTAAGAATTTAACATTTTAGAGAATCATTGCTTTGAATATTTAAGATTTTAATAAAATCTTACCCTGTATGCAAAAATCTTAGTTACAACAATAATTTAATTATGTATTATTTTCTAATAGCATAAGAAGTTTATATCAATAGTTAATCAAATTAAACGCTTCAATTTGTAATTTTCCAATAAATAACTTTGTAAGCAAGGATGAATATATTAAAATTTCTTGTCATTGTTTTTCTCATTAAAGTCTCAACCATAACTCTAATACACACAAACATGTAAAAGTCGAAGAAGCTACTACATATTTTACCTCTCATTTCTCCACTTCTTTTGGCCAGGGTGAGGGAAAAAAGACGGTTTTTTTCTCACCGAATAGTGACTGTGTTATCATCTGTCAGCATCATACCTCTTTATAAATAGAAGTGTCATTCAACTCTCACAATTCATCCTTCACGTCAGTGCTGCTACTCTGACTTTCCTTGACATCAGAACTCTCGTTCTCAGTTTTAGAAGTTGTGGTTGGTTTCTGGAGCTGGAACGGGATTGATGCATGTTTCTTAAGGAACTTATAAAAGGCTAACACCGTACGATCCGAATCAACAGCAATCTGCAAACACAATGACACGGACACATATCATATCATCCAATGATGTAGCATATGCATATCCAGGATAGCTAAATAGAGAGAATATGCGCTGTCGTTTAATATTCACGTACAGGGTCAGAACTATTGTGTCCTGCTGGGAAGAAGAGAAGAGTGGGGAATCCATCAGCCTATAAAACGAACATAACTCGGTCAGTACACATGCATTGATGAAAAGGCATTATAGCTTCTAATCTAATGCTTAATCGAAAATTCAAAACTTAAACATGAGTTGGACCAAATGCCAATTTAATGATAAGTTGATAAAGTAGTAGTACTAGTACATACCATATGCTGTCAACATCTAGTTTAAATTTTTGTTTACCTTTGCCCTGGGATGCTCATTTGTTGTACCGTCCATCTTGGCTATCACAATAGACTCAATGCTGCGCAGATGTTTTGCAAGCTTGTTGAATGTTGGTTCCAGTGCTTGGCAGTGGCCACACCAGGGAGCATAAATCTAATATTACAACATCCATTAAATTAACATGAACAAGGTGCACAGGCAAATATGAATTGGAAACAGGGGTTTAGAATTGTACCTCAAGCAGAACATCCTTTGACTCGTCCAAGACTATTTCATCGAAGTTATTCCCAACAACTATTTTCACATCACCATCATTCTGCCATCAACTTCGGAAAAATGTAAGACATGAAAAACCTGGCCAACAGAACATGTCTGGAAAACAAAATAACTTACACTTTCAGGAACTGGATCTGACTTGAGGAAAGGTTTTAGCTTGTCTTCAAGGAAATCTTTCCCAAATGCCTAGGAAAAAATAAAGACTTAAATTTTTAGCCACATTTCTTCTAAGCCTTACTAAAACATAGAAGAAAGCATTCATGCACATCCCACAACATAGTAACGAAATGAACAGAGACCTTGGCAGCAAGAGAGAGAAGAGTACCTTGATTTTGTCAACAGTCACCTCTCCATCAAACAAAAATTTTCTTCCATCATCATTTCCTGTGAATCCAAGTACCTACGTTGGAAATTTCATCCGTTATTTAATTTACTTCCAATTGAATTTAAATGATGTAATATGTCAAGAATCTTATGACTCATCCACTAAAACGGAATTCAGAAAAGGGGGGAAATAATTACTTTGGGAGCATTCCCAGTGATCCCAAAATAATCTGCAACAGGCTTTCCAACATCTTCATTATCCATTTCCACATGAACAAAGACCAGCTGCAACATATCATTGTACAGTACAAATAAATTATTGTCCAAAAAATAAGATTCTTTTGGGGGGAAGGGTAGCTTAATGAATTATAACTAAAAGTGTGGAAAGTCAGAAACTAATTTTTATTTCTTCCAGTATAAATGACAAATGGGACTATTATGAACAAAATATACGAACAACAGAAAGAAAGATAAAATTTGAGATATCTGAAGATTCAGCAATCAACATTAGCAATATCTAATGTTAAATTCTGATGATATACAAATATAGGCAGGGTCATCAATTATAGTGAGCCATACACCCAGGTAGTATTTGTAAAATTTAAAACCATTTCATAACCGTTCAGGTTCCAACCAATTTCACAAATCTAAGCAAATTTGAGCTGGTTTTAAATTATGCTTGGTTTGTTAAAAAATCAGTTTTGGACCAACTTTGTACCAAATGTTGTATCCTTTTTTAAATATGGAATAAAGTAGAAAGAGACACAAAGACAGAGAAATAGGGAAACAGGAAGCTTGTAATTAAAATAAAAAGTGGCTAGTTTAAAAACCATTTCTCTTCTGTACTTTCTTCTGAACTCTTTGGGACTTGAAAACTAATCAAATAAGAACTAGCTTTCATAAATCTCCGTGATTACAAACATAAGATTTTAAAAATTACTCCAATGAACCTAGTTATCTGGACTTTTGAGTTCCCTAGAAAACTACATACAACATTCCTTTAAGTCAACTGCATGCTTTCTAAACTAAAATTTGTCAACCTTTACTTTCTCCCTATCTACTTTCATGATCCACTCAGCAGTGCACTGCACCAGAATTATTATAAACAGCAAAGCATTCTATTTTATTTGCACTTTTTTTCTGAAATAGAACACATACAAATTTGTCTAGATTCTAGATAAAGAACTCCATAACAGAGAGTGGCCTGTGAGGAAATATACCTTCCCCTTGAAAATTTTTGCTGCTTCTTGAAATACTGGAATGAATTTCTCTGTATCATTTGAAGTCACAAACAGCAACAACTAAAATTGAAGTTTTAAACACATAACAAAGTTAGAAGTTTGTTATGATCCCATTTACAAGGAATATTTCTTCCTAGATTAACAAAGAGATACATATATATATATATAATCAAATACCTGTTTCTTGATTTGACTTTCAAAGATCAATGGGGCACTTTCTCTTGTAAAAGTTGTAACCAAAGGAAGCTTGTTGGAGGATACAAAGTCGACTATTGCAGCTTTCACAAATTGGCCATCTGCAGAGACAGGTGAAATATATCAAGTTTCCATTCTGGTATGGGGGTGGGGAAGAGAAGAACAAGATTACGAACCAAAATGGTTCAGTTTCTCCTCCTCTTTCTTGAGCAAGACCAAAGCAGGGCGTTTGACATTTGGGTCAATATGAAAAAGCTTAGCCACATCAGGAATCACAGTTTGATAAAAATTGACATTATCCTCAAGTTTTGAAGCTGCAGCTAGCTCGTCACTCTCAGCACCCTGCACATTATGACAGGGAAAAAATGACGCATCAGGCCCAACAACAGGCAGTTTCATAGATTGAATTAACACAGCTCAAATCAAATCCATTAGTCTAATATAGAGAATCAACAATGGCAAATGACCCTTATATTAGACTGATTAAAAGAAGCAGCGTAACTTATTCTTACTACGACAAAAGTACCTTAGTATGATCATGATAAATATAAAACCATGAACTCATCAAACCATCTTGAAATACAAATTTAAATCACAAAAAAATTAAATAAATTCTGCTTGCATTGCATTTGATAACTTGTCACACACACACACACATTGCTAAACGTGTAGCAAAAATGCAAACCCCAAAACTTACAACTAAAGAGTCAAGGAAGCCCAAAACAACTTTACTTTCAGAGGTCAATATGCGTTCAGCATCATCCAACGTAGTTATGTTGTATACACCAGGTCCTATCTTCTTCCTAATCCATGTCACTATAGCATCTCTGCATTGCAACAAAAAAAGTCAGTTCTAACGTGAAGAATAAAACAATGACACACCCATTGCAAGCAAAATTTAGAAAATCTAACTTTCCTTTGCAATTGCAATATAGAAACACACAAGATCCAAACTTGGGAGTTAGTGAACGAACGAAAGTTACTTGGTTCTGTGGCCAGTGTAAGGCTTGTGAACCCCATCGACGAAAAAGTAGACAGTGGGGAAACCCTGAACATCGTACTCGTGAGCCAATTCGTTCTCTTCGGTGGCATCCACCTTTGCCAAAACGACACCGTCACCCTTCAACTCGGTTGCGGCGGCGGCGTACTCCGGCGCCAGGGACTGGCAGTGGCCGCACCAGGGGGCGTAGAATTCCACCATCACGAAGCGGTTGTCTTCGACGACGGTGGTGAAGTTCCGCTCCTTCAAAACGACGACGTCCTTGTCATCCACCACGGGTTCCTTGTACGATTCCTCCGAGGGGTAGAAGCCGGAGAAGTCTTCCAAGTCATCCCCGTCGCCGTCGTCGTCATCTTCGTCTTCGTCGAAGTGGTCAAGATCTGGGTAGTTGTGGTGTGAAGTTGAGGTGTCAGCGGGTTCGTCGAGAAAGCTGAGATCCTCGTCGTCGTCGTCGTCGTTTTCGTTTTGGGGGGTTTTGTCGCAGAGACTGAGAGAGAAGGTTGAGATGATGAGAAGAGCGGTGAGAAAGAGCGAAACGACGAGTCGTCTACGACTTAGCATTGTGACTTGCGAAACCAACGGGAATTCTGATAACAAGATCGTGTATGGCTTCTTCACCGACGAATGGAAGCTCAAGTTGAAGACACTCACTCTTGAGTGTAACTCATTTAATTTGTTAAAAGTAACTCTCACTCACTATGTTAACATCAATTCCTTTTAAAGTATATATGAATTTATTAATTTTCTAAAATAAAGTCACATGAATTTAATTTTTTATAAATCTTGGTTTCACTTGTTACACACGTAGCTTGACTGAAAGTTTAGTAAACCATTAGATTTGAACTAGTGAAGATGGATTTTAGTAAACCACTAGATTTGAATTTTAAAAGGCTTAGTATGAATTTTCATTAAGAAAAAAAGATGGGCTAGAAAACTATTTATTCAATTGCATAATGTTTGGGCCAAGGGTTGTTTCAACAGAGTCCAACAAGCTTTCCTCCAATACGACGTCGTCGAAAAGCGAAGCCTCTTCACATAGCAAAAATGTAAAATGTGTAGTGATTGTTAGGTTGCGGGTGTGTAATTTGAAAGATTTGAGGGAATATTGTTCCGACAAAACAAAAACTGTTGCAGGAAAACGAAACGAAATGATGATTAGCATTCTCACCCAGGTATTGCTCTAACATAATCAACTCTTTTTGGAATTTCAATTTAGGATTCTATGTTGGTGTCTGTGTCTGTGTCTGTGTCTGTGTCTTTTTTTTTTTTTTCAACCCAAAAATAATAAATAAATAAATAATAAGAAATTGGTGATGGGTTCTGAATTTGTTGAAATGTTTGGGGGAAATGCATGACATAGGAACGGCTTCTTGGAGCTTCACTGGGAGTTGTATTGACGGGGGTGGTTGTGTTGGAGCAACGCAGATACATCTACTCTTCTATTTCCAATTCCCAATCTCACTCTCAGGTTAAACGCTTTCCCATTCTTCATATTCATCCTTTCATTCGTTCCTCTCTATTCTAATTATGTTATTGTCTCGTACATACTGTTTGTTTGAGGAGGTATTTCTCTCATTTTTTTAAAGGAAAATACTATGTAGCCAAAAAAAATTTGCCAAAATTAGTTTACATTATTATTGAATCTTGAATGAATGAATGGTTTCCACTACTTTGATTTATCCAATAACCACCTTTGAATTTTGACAAACTTTGGCTGAATTCTGTCAATTTTTTCTTGGCTATGTAGTGCATACTTTTCTAAGAAATAAAAATGAAAAAATAACAAATAACAATTGAATTGTTGTGTTGATAGAGCACTAATATGTCCATGGGAGTGAATTCTCTCGTGTGTTATTTAATATGACCATGTCATATGAAAGAATCATGACGATACAAAGGTGAATCAATGGTAATAAGGGAAGAGAAAAAAAATACTGGGATAGGTAGTTACAAAATTATCACCATTGATTTACCCTTGTATGGTTAGGATTTTTCCACATAACATGGTCATATTAAATAACACATGAAAGGATCTTTTTCCATATCTTCACAGTGTCTTAGTCGCTGAATAACTCACCTTGCTGCTAGCTTGTTTATGGAGTTGCCTATATACCCACGCTTTTGTGTTGATTCTGACTTGTCCAGTGATTCAAAGTGAGAGACGGAAAATTAGATGTTCATGTTTGTCTTTGTGCATGATATGAAGTTTCTACATAAGAATTATAATGAGTTATAAGGTGCAGTTAACTGAGATTGGTTTTAAATGAACCCGTGTAATTATATTACACTATATTATACTACACATCATGTGTTGTTCTAGGTTGCCAAACTTACAAGTATACTGGAAGTTGATAAAACCTAGCTCAATTTTACTTTTTACACTCCTTTGCTCCATAACTTTGTACTTCCATGTGTTTTATCATTCTGATACTTGGAAAGTTTGCCATCTAGTTCAAAGTCCACACTCCACAGGCCTGAGTAACTTTATATATGAAATACTAAGCATTCAATCTATTATGGAGTGTCACCCTTGACTTTCAAATTTCATGTATGATTTGCTACTTTTAAATTCTAAACTTTCAGCTTTCATGCTCTGCCAGGTTAGAGAACCCATATTTGGGAAGAAATCACGTTCTGAATTTGCACATTTATGGAACAAAACTGTGGATCAGACATTTGAACCTTTGATAAAGTCTCTGAGCTCACGTGGATGGTAGAGATGTTTATGTGTGGCTCTATTTTTTATACTATCTTTTGTAATTGTGAATTTGTGATATCAAAACATGCAATACATGGCCTTACTTTTACCTTCGCAGTCTGAATTGTATGTTAAACGGTTGTGCGCATGGGCAGTGCTGATGAATGATGATGTTTGAAGACCAATGTAATAACTTTTTGCAATTATCATATTTTGCTTCTTTATATGGATCTAGATACCTGATTTGTTCCCCCTTGAACTATTAATTTCTGAATATTAGAATTTACTCATACTGTCTCTGTTTGGAATGGTGTTCTCTCAGCATGTTGCAGGTGCCTGTTGTATTAAAATTCACTAACTGAGTCGTACACTGGTTGGCATTGTTGTAATGTGATTCTGATACAACCCAAACACAATGGATAAAGGTTTCAATGAAAATGAAACAGAAATTATGTTGATTGAAGCTGAATCAATAATAACTCAGCCCATTACAGTGCATGAATTGACCCTACTATATGTGTGACAAACTGAAATAATGAAGGAAAAAAGACAAGAGAAAACGAAAAGATAGTTGCTGAGTATTTGAGAGACTCAGAGCTCTCCCAGCCCAATGCCCAATCTAATTTTCAAAGATGATCAGAATCCATTCCTATTCCTCTATTTAAGCAACAAACTTCCCTCCACCTTTAAACCTCTAACAGAATTCAGTTTACCAGCTTTCTACTTCTTTCCTACGCCTTGTATAATCTAGTCGTAACAGATTCTTTTGCTTGGGAGTTTGTACAGTTCTTAGGTTCAAGTTCTTTGAGGAGAAATCTATATTTTGAATGGAGCATTAGTTTAGATATTGTATAGAAATTGATCAATTCTTTGGGGTTGGGGGAATAGATAGAATAGACCCTGAAGAATAAGCCAGTTCACTATTGCTTTATTTTGATCCAGGTACTTTCAAATAGAAACCCTTTCCTCTTCCAAGGAAAATATCTAAATCCGAAAGAATAAAATGATTCTGCTTTTATTCTATATGTTTTTTTTTTAAAAGCTTCAATTTATCTTTTCTTAATCTGTAGAAAAGATGCAGTGACCAGGATTTGTGCAGATTAATTCGTTTGTGGTTGCTGTATTGTTTACTGGAAAATCTGATTTGATTGATGTGATACGAGAGATAAGATTAAGTCTTGGGTTTAATATCATGGACGATAAGCTTCTCTAAACGCAAAAACTGTTTTGTGGATTCCTCTATGTTTCGTTTTTCTACTGGGCAATTGGGTGAGTAGGACAATTGTCCATTCATGTTCATAACTTATGTTTGATATGGTTGAATTCTCTGGTAGACCTGCTATTTTGTATATTCTGTTGCTTCACATTGAATTAATCTTAATAGTGTTACTTGGAAGGTTGCCATCTAATTCAAAGTCCACTGGTCTGAGTAACTTTATATTTGAAATACTGAGAGCATTCAATCTATCATGGAGTGTCAACCTTGAAATAACAATTTTCAAGTTTGATTTGCCACTTTTAAATCTAACCTTTCAGCTTTCATGCTCTGCCTAAGTAGAGAACCCATATTTGGGGAGAAGTCACATTCTGAATTGGTACATTTATGGAACAAAACTTTGGATCAGATGTTTGGATCTTTGATTAAGTTTCTAAGCTCACGTGGGTGGTAGAAATGTTATATGTGATTCTATTTTTAATTCTATCTTTTCTAAATGTGATATTAAAACATGAAGACTTGGCCTTATTTTTTACCTTGACGCTCTTAATTGTATGTTAAACGGTTGTGCACACGAGCAATGCTGACGAATGTCCGCTTTTGAATGCAAATGTAATTTTTATTTTATTTTTCCGTAATCATATGTTGCTTCCGCATATGGATCTAGAATTCTAGATACCTACAATTTGCTTAGGCTCCTCTATGTCTGGAATGGCGGTCTCTTGGCAGGTTGCAGGTGCCTGCTGTCAATAAAATGCACTTAATGATTCACACACTTGTTGGCATTGTCTTAATGTGATTTTTTCGCTTTGGAGTTTGGACAGTTCTTAGATTCAAGTTCTAAGAAATCAAAGTTATATTATGAATGAAGCATTAGTTTAGAAATTGATCAGTTCTTTGGGGAAATGGATGGAATAGATTCTGAAGAATAAGTCACTTTACCATAGTTTTAATTTGGTTCTTTCAAATAGAAATGGTTTGCTTTTGGAAGTCAAAAGTCAAATATCCAAATCCGAACAAATAACATGAATCTGCTTTTTTCTTCTTTTCTTTCTTATTAAAATCTTTAATTTAGCTCTTCTTAATCCGTAGAAAAGGTATAGTGGCGGGAATTTGTGCAGAAGAATTCATTTGTGCTTGATATATAGTTTACTGGACTATCTGATATTGATGATATTGATGTGATAAGGGAGATAAGATTAAGTTTTAGGTTTAATATCATGGACGAGAGAAACATTTCAAATTCCTCTGTTTAGGAGGAAATGAGGTGAGGAGGAAAATTGTCTTATATTCATGTTCATAACTTATGTTTAATGTGTTCGAGGTTCCTTGGTACCTGCTATTTTGTATCTGTTGCTTTCAATTGAATTTATCTTAATAGTGTTAGTTGTTAATAAGAAAAATGGAAACACATGACACTGATAATTATAAGAACATATTATAATTCGAAATTAATCACTATCATAACCACAGATACGTTGGCTAAACATAAACAGCAGAAAATGGAACTAGTGCTGAGCAACAAGAAAGTGAGACAAGGTTGTCCCAAAAAAAAAAAAAAAAACTACATTACAAAGGCAGTTATATGGTTAGAGAAAGGATTTTTGAGGAATTTGGGGGGAGAGGTGGAATCTTTATGCCTTGTTCTAAGTTAAGGTTGATGTACTTATAGGAGACACATCAAGCTTGACATTGAACACTACTATTGGCTCGACTCATGTTGGCTTGGCGAGAGACCCTTATATAGTAGACTCAGTTAGCTAAAAGCACATTAAAAGCAATGGCAAAGATAATGCCAGCAGCTACACCACCAACTCTCTTATGTTTCCAACCATTTTGTGATGCCGATGCTTTGTTTTCATATATTTGAGTGGCTTCTACTTGAGCCGCTAGAGGCAGTGGTGAACACTTGGATGCAATACATGGGTCTTTGGTCTCAGGCTTTCGTGCATTGGGATGAAAGAAGTCATATGCTGATGGTGGAAAAGCTACAGGATTCTCATAAACAAGCCCATGAGGGGCTCTTTCTTGTCCTGAAGCAATAGAGAGAAGTCCTATAGAAAGAAGGAAGAGGAAGGAGAAGCCAATGGGACTCATGTTTGTCTCTTTGATAAGGAGGTAGCCTTTGGATGAAAAGTTGTGGGTGGGTTGCACTGGCTTTTATAAATGCCTTGAGTTCCTGAGTAAGTGGTTGTTCCTTGGACCAGAATTTATGTGTGGGAAAAGGAGGTTAATGAAGAGTGAAGCAGAATAATGGGTTTTGCTTTAGAGGACCCCCAATCCCAACATGGAAGCCTTTGTAATTCCCAAACTGCCCATGGTCATATGTTAATTATGTGTAGATGATTTGGAGAAAGTTTTTAAGGTCTGTAAAAGAATAAAATGAGGTTTTTTTTTTTTTTTTTTTTTTTTTTTGGAGCCACGCATGAAGGTCTTTGATCTGGTATTCAATAAATGAATGGCTTGATTGGAGCAGCAGTGGCATTACTGTCATAAAACTTCTTGTAATGGACAAGAGTTTATTGATTATTTTTCCATTTGAGGCGTCTTGGGACGGCTCTAAGTAAGAATGATGCGTATTCATGAGCAATAACTTGAGTGCTTATTTTCTCATGGTTTATGTTCTTGAGTACCATACTCTAATGCATACAATGTGTGTAAGCAAGGACTAGTGGATAACATCATTGGATCTTTAATTGACATCCTTTACGATAAAACATATTCATCCATTTGAAAAAGAATAAAGAAACGGAAGAAAAAAAAAATGTATTTGTGCATAGTATTCACTATTCAGTGCATGTAGGTATTTAATCACCATATTAGTATCTTACTACTAAGCTATAAACTCACTCTCCCATGGTCTCATCCACACGTGTTATTGTGTTAGTAATCAAATGCTATTTTTTAATTTTTTCAAAAAAAAAAAAATTCATCAATTGCTTAGGAGGAGGCTTAATTAATGTGTATGCTTATTATGTTATTAGTGAAAAGGTTTGTGCTTTGCTTTCTCGCTACGTGGGAAAACTTGAAGTAATTAAAGCATAGGGTTGCCTTAGCTTAGAGGGGCAGCAAAGGCCCTGGCCCGCCATATTATTGGTAAGGCACAGAGCGCATGCAAGAGCTGAATAGCAAATGCCACTCCATATGTGTGAATATGATATGACGTTAATTAAAATCATGCCAACCTTCATGCTTTCTCTTTTTATGTATTGCTCGGTTCACTACCATCGCATGCCTTTGTGCAGGAAAACTGGATGGTTATTGTGATTCTCTTTAATCCTTCCCCATTGAAGCGCCAATATTAGCATATAAGTCAAAATATGTTTAATAAAATCACGCTTAAGTCTTACACATAATGAACTTGATCCTTTGATTTACATGGAGTAAGATTTTTATGGTGCTTGTATTTTTTTTTTTTCCTCTTTCATTTGATCAAGACAAGATTAACGACTCTCAGATGAAGTATTAAATTTTTTAAGGTTTAGGATTTAGTATTAAATTCTTTAACACCTCATGTTGTCCCTCTATATATATATATATATATTAAGTACCATCTATTTTTTTCTATGTGAACTTCTCGTCCAGAGGCATTCTGAGCCATCAAGTACATACAAAGATGATAAAACAATTCCTAAGACTAAAAAAATTCTAGCATCTTTGAAACTCTTCCCTATAGAAATAAAGAAAAATGTTCAATAATAAGAATGTGTTTGTGTGAAATGACTTATAAAGAGAGGAAAATTAAAAAGGAAATTGTTTCACTTTATTAGTTATTCATTTACTTTTCAAACCTTAAAAATTTTTTATTGCTCTATAGTGTTTTCAACCGAATAATCCATAATTAATCCGTTAAATTATGTGTTAAACTAGTCCACAACTTGTATCGGCGATCATGAGTTATGTCCTTATGCCTGATGTAGCTGCTCACATACTTTAAATTTAGTAGAACATTTTTAAATAGTTAAATTTTAGAATTTAATTTTCATACACAGTTAATATAAAAAGCTTTATATTAGTATATTGTCAAATTATTTAATTAATTTGATTGTGAATAATAATGTAAAAATTTTCTCTATTTATAGCGCATGAAGATAAATTTTAGATTTTATCATTTTGATTTTATAGAAAATTAATTTAGAAAGAAAATTTAAAAAGGGAACAAAGTTAGACAAAATAATTAACGAGGGACAAATATACCAAATGCAATATAGAATTTTAGGTAGCTAATTGACCCATTGGGCCTTTTGGGACTGGCTTGGTCCTAAAAGGTGTGTAGGTTTAGCATTTTGGCTTTAATTTTAAGTCCGTTGACCCAAAAGCTTAGATCCACTAGTTGAGCCCAGTAGCTCATAGTATGTATGGCAAATGAACAGATATCGAATTGAAGATATAGACACACACAAAAATAAAAAATAAAAAAACCACAAAGAATATATAGATATCATCAGCAAAAGGGGTGATATACTTGGATATAGATCAATAATTTTAATTAAATAATACAAGAAATGGTCTTGAAAAAAAGTTATTTGCTCTTTTATTTATGCAGTATTTTATGTTTTTTTTTTAAATATACTATCATTTAAATATTTTTTCAATGTTATTAAAAATCAGTCCGGTTATCGACCCAGTCGAGGTACCGGGTCTGATTTAACCAGTGATCCACTGGTTGCACCACACGACCCGGTGATTATATATAAATTTATAACTCATATTAAAAAAATTATAAACATACTCAAAATAGCTGAAAAAAATAATGTAAATTCTAAATATTTTAATATAAAAAACAAATATTATTGTCCAATAAATGATCAAACAAACATATAATGATTGTGATATTGGTGTTTTAGGTTCAGTAAACGACATCTCTAACTATAAATTACATCAAAATTTCTTGCGTAGTGCATAACTGAGATAATATTAGTATTGTCGGTACAAAACATATGTAAGTCAATAAACCACAGATCACTCACATATGTCAATTATGAAAATATTTTGAAAATATTTTTTTTAAATAAACCGGCTCGGGTCACGGTTAACCGATCGGGTAATCGATTTTCACCAAAACATGCCAGAACACAACAGGTCTAGTACTTGGCTGATCCAATATGATAATCGAACCAGTCAAATAATCGGTTCACGGATTTCGGGTCGAACCCGCCGCTTCGGAATTTTACAACTTTGCTCTTTTTTGTAAAAAAAATTTCCATGATCATTGTCATTTAAATTTTAAATGACATAAAGTTGTGTTATTTTAAGAAAGATATAGACACAAAATAAATTATTTTTTTTAAATTTAAATTGAAAACAATCATCCATTTTTTCTTTCCCATGATTTTCGTTCCTTGTATCTATCTTTCTCCTAAAATAACATATATTTAAAATGACATAACTTATATCATTTAAAATGACAAACATCAAACCTAAAAATTAAAAATATAACTCAATACAAGTTACCCTAACAATCTCAATTCAATCTAAAGAAAGCAACTTGGTTTAAAAAAAAGGAACTTCTATGGGCCCAAAACCCGAGAAGTCTAAGCCGATATCTCTCGTTGGTTCGAGAGACTTCCGTAGTTGCTTAATAATAAGAATTTTTTTTTTTTTGGTAATCATAAGAAATATTATTATGGGACTGATGGAACTTCGTTTCCCTTTTATTGAAATTTAAAAGTTCCATCAATTACTAATCCGTCAGTATCTTGCTTTTTTCTAAGATGCTTAACTTATTCACCATTATATGATTACGACTGTTCTACTCAAAAATTCTTGAATGTTCCATCGCCTTCATGATCCCTAGCCATGGATATCCGCTTCGGAAAAGAATATGCCGCAAAACCTCAACTTTATTAAAAAAATTTCTTTAATTTTCTTTCTAAATTCTTCATTAGTTCTTTTGAGTATTTTTTAACTTTATTACAAACTTTACAAATCCGATATCAATCAGAGAGTTTATAATAGAGGAGAAATATTATTAGATGAAGTAAGCAACAATCCACCATAATTAATGAATTTGATATTATATTTTAATTTAAAATCTTAAGGCATTAAATTTATGGTTCTTTCATTTATATAATTATCACTTAAATTTATTTCTAACCAATATAAGATTTCATTACTTCTATTTAAATTTTGAAGAAATTTTTTAAACTTTCATTTGTGCAATGATTATTAATTTATATCATTTTGAAATGTTAATTTTCTAAATTAAGTATATGATAAGTTTCACATGTGCTCAAAAATGAGTTTACCAATAGTATTACGACAACGAATGCCTTTGTGCTGAAAATTGAATCATCAAATAAATCACACATACCTAATCGGCTACATAGAAAATGACCACAAAATATTAAATACATAAGATATGGTGAAGATAAGGTATATTAGCTCACCAATCTTTCATATGAAATGAGGGATACACAAGCAAGGAATCCGAAGCTATTCATTCACCTAACATGCATACTTTTTCTTTCTTATTTTTTTTTTTTCATTTCTTATATTATAGCGTCCCAGCAACTGCGATGAATTCTAAAAAAATCCAAAGTTTAGTGTCACATCAATAAGCACCACCACAAAAACTAACTAAGATAATCTTAAAAAGTGGGAGCTTTTTGAGTACAATGGTAATTTAATTATGATGCTAAGCTTTTCCACTAGTACTTATAGTTTAATATACATTGGGATAAGCATCCCAACAGAAATCTATCATCAACGTTGGAACAGCTGTCAAGATTAGACTCCTTATAGTTGAAGACAATAATTGCAAGTAAAGATATAACAGTAATAATATTAATTACCCAAAAAAAAAAAAAAGATATAACAGTAATAATGTTTGGTTCTTTGGCCAATGGATGAATTTGAAGGTTGAAGAAGCTTATAGTTACGCATATGAGCTAGTGGGTTAATTAGTTAATGGGTTATATATGTAATTAATGGGTTATATATGTATTACGTAATAGGAAAAATACTATTCATTCCTGCACACACAATATTAATGCAGAGTCCACAAGGTTTTTTTTTCTTTTCACTCATCTGATTTTCTCTCTCTTCTGTTTTGTATCTACAGGAATGTTACTTTAAATTCTGTAACAATACGAACTCATTTCCCTTAGTTAATTAGGAGTAAAAGCATAGCTAGTTTTGTCTAATTCCAAAAGGAAACTTGTGTTTGTCATTTTCCCTTTTCAAGCCTAAGATGGTTGATGACATACCTAACTCTAGTAGAAACCAAAAGGACACTTCAAGAATTAGGCATAAAACTGGTACTAACGATATTCATCAACGGCATGAAATTATTCCAGTTTAATTAGTGATTTTTGAGTTCAAATTCTAAATATACAATTATATTAAAAATTGATAGGAAAAGTTAGAGAAATATCTTAAAGGAAAGTTCAAGAATTAGACCTAAAACTGTATAAACTTACATTTTTTTTCCTCTTATATCTCTCCATCCCAATAATCACAATCAAAATTATGAGAGTTAAGCAGGTGAGGTGAAAGCATGTGTTCGAATCTCTCCGGTCTCACTTGTGAGAAAAGTTTAAAGCCTTAATCCTGGACCCGCTCCGAATCGGATTAATTGCAAAGCAATAAATTAATTGGAATACTTTTAAAAAAAAAAAATTAAGGGATGTTTATAGTGTATACACTCTTCGATTTGTAGATGTATGTTCAAGTAATTCAATAATAGAATGACTAGGTTAATAAAAAGGAAAAAGAAAAAAGCAATAGAATGCCATACCACTTGAAAGAATAATTAAAAGAGGAAGAGGAAGGCTTCACTTATTAATTATTTCATCACTATATTAAATTAAGAGTATAAAAGGACAAGCATATATATAGATAATGGTATTGAAGTCAAGGTTACGTACATGATAATTGATAAAGCTTAGAGAAACACGCAACGTTTGATGTTGAATTGGAAACAGAAGATGATGAATATACCACTTACAAAATGAAAAATGACTAAGGATGCACGAGATAGAAAAGAAAAAAGCAAACACATGATGAGGAATACATACACGGAAATTAACAAGACAGAAAAAGGGTTACAAAATACACCCTCGGACACAAACATGCTTATCTACAATTTCATGGCTCCTTAGTTTTGACATTTTCACCAAACCCCCCCCAATAGCTGAAAAGGAAAAGACGAAAACGCCTAAAAAGGGACCAGCAGAGACAGACTGGCACTCATCAATAACATAGGAGTTTCAATTATTATTCTTTGAGAAAACACCTTAGCCTCCATGAAACACATTATTCACAAGCTTAATTAAGCGTTGCTCCTGAAAGATCCAAGAGCTTTGATGGCTGCTGCTCTAAGAATGTATTCGTGGTAGAATGCAGCTGCTGCAGCTCCAACAATTGGTCCAACCCAGAAAATCCACTGATCATAGAAAACACATCACCAAAATTAGACTTTTTCTCAACACTAATAACTTCCAACATCATTTTTTCTTTTGGTAAAAAATAAAAGAGAGAGATTATATTAGTTTATGTATGGATACTTACATGGTCATCCCAGATTTTGTCTTTGTTATAGATTACAGCTGCTCCGAAACTCCTAGCTGGGTTAATTCCAGTACCAGTAACTGGGATTGTAGCCAAGTGAACCATGAACACAGCAAATCCAATGGGTAGTGGTGCTAATACCTTTTTATTATTTCACAAACCAAAGATAATATTAGTTAGTGAAGAAAATTAAAGTTAGACAAAAAGGGCATGATGAATTTTGACTAAAAGGGACATGGTTAAGATTAATATACTTACAGGAACATGTGAATCTCTAGCGTTCCTCTTAGGATCAGTGGCAGAGAAAACAGTGTAGACAAGAACAAAAGTACCAATAATCTCAGCACCCAAAGCGGTACCTTTGTTGTAGCCAGGTTGAACAAAGTTGGCCCCACCTCCATACCTGTCATAATATGCTTTTTGGAAGGCTTTGGCTAGTCCAGCCCCGCAGATTGCACCAGCGCACTGTGCTACCATGTACAACAAAGCCCTGATCAAAGAAACCTTGCGTCCCAAGAACAATCCGAATGTCACCGCCGGGTTTATGTGTCCTCCTACAATACCAAGTTCACACATACTCTTAATTTCTAATTACATATATATGTTCCATATATAACATCCATCAAATTAACCAAGATCACATATAAAAGAAGTTCAATTACAACTTCTCTTAGAAATATAATATCATGCTATTAGCCAAAATTATTGAGTAACACAACAACTTAGGTTCCATTTTTTCACAGCTATAACAGAAAGATTTATATACTACAAACACATATTCAGCAGAATTTGACCTTTTTTTAAAATAAAAAAACAAAAATTTAACGTTAAATCCTGATAAATATATATCTATGACAGAATATTTCTACTGCAGAGACAAAAATACTTTTATTTATATATATATATATATATATGTGTGTGTGAGAGAATGATCTGTTTATAAAATTTTTTTATAAACTACACTAAGTATGACCAGTCATATATTAAGTATGACTAGTCATACTTAGTGTAGTTCATAAACAAAAAATTTGTAAATATAACATTTCTCATATATATATATATATATATATGAAAAATATTTCTCAAGTTATTTGAGACAATGTTATCTCTGGCTACTCCAAAATTACGTCATTTTATTTATTTATTTCCTTATATTAATTTATTTACCTTTGAATGGTTATGATTGCTTTTTTCTCTCTTTTCCTTTATCACCATGATCCATTTTTGTACGGTTATGATTTAGTAGTCGAAGATAACATTGTCTCAAGCAGCTTGAGAAATGATAAGCCCAAAATTTTTGTATTATATTCCAACCCAAAATTTTAAAGATATTAAAATTATGATCCTTGAAGTCACTTGATCATTTTAAACCAATATAAGAGTTTAATAGTACTCACTTAGAATTCCAACAGAACTCTCCTAACATCAATTTTTTTTCCGTTTTTTGTGTGTGAGAGAGAAGTGGTGAAGCATACCAGAAATACCGGCGGTGCTGTAAACAAGGATGAAAATCATGCCACCAAAGGCCCAAGCGATACCCAAAACGCCAACACCATCACATTCGGTGCCACCCTTTTTGGTATCAGTTTGGCTGTTGTAGCCAATAATGGTCAAAACGGTGATATAGAGGAAGAGAAGGGTAGCTATGAACTCAGCGATGACGGCTCTGTATAAAGACCACTTTGTCAGCTCCTCTGCGTCGAACAAAGCCGCTGGAGGGGGTTCCTGGTAGTCTTTAGCAGAGTATTCTCCTTGTTCTTGAACCTCAACATCTTTAGTCATTTTTTTCTTCTTCTTCTTTTTCTTTCTTGGTTACTTCTACTATAGTAACTAGTTTTGTGCTCTGTGTGTAGATGATTGTGGATTGAGTAAAGAGTGGTGTGGTGTCGTATTTAAGTAACGAAAAGAAAAGAAAGAGAGAGATTATGCAAATGAATTAATTAATTAAAACGGGGTGGTTTTTGTTTGTGTATAGTGACAATGACATGATTAACATAATTTTTTGCCGCCCCTGTTAGCTTGATTTCGCTTGCATGGCCCCACCCTTGTGCTACCATTCCAACGGCTCTTTCTTGATTATACATATATATGTAGGGTTATGTTTATCTCATTTTACATGAGATAAACATCTCTCCTACACACACAAAAAGGGTTGGGTCCCATCACTTTTTTTTTCTCTCTCCTCTTACATGTGGGTCCCACTTATACTTTTATTTCTACAACATGAGGTAATTCTTTTCCTACAACATAAGAAAAATATATCCCATATATGTAATGTAATACACATATATATGGCCCCCACCATGACATAAAAAGGTTCTTGTATGTATATCAATGGCAACATGGTGTTATGGGCAAGTGTGGAAATTGCAAAAGGCATTGCATGTAGAGATATAAATTAGAATGACGAATTGAACAGCAACATTTCCAGGGTGTACTGCATTTTGTGCCCACTCTGTCACTAATTTGGCAAAGCCTAATTGGTCGCTATGGCCCTTGTGTTTTACTAATGGGTCCTCCTTGCGGAAATTTCATTAGTATTACGAGATTTTATTAAAAAAGAAAAAAAAATTATTTTAACCCATATTTTTTCATATAATTCTTTTTAAATCCCAAAGCTTTCTTCTTTTGATATAAATATACCTTCATCAATTGCACCAATAGTTTTCTCCCTTCTGCACTTTCCTCCCACTTAACTCTATCTTGTTTAAGTTCACAGCACATGGGAAAAAGTTAAAAAGAAGCCATAACAATATTTAACTGTACTACTGTCTTATTATATCTCTCCATCCATAACAACTTATTTGAATATTAACCCTCTCATTTATATATAGATATAATAATTATTTTAGTGTTAAGCCATTTAAATCAAAATATTGTTTATTGTAAATTGTTATAAGTATATTATGTTTTATCAAAAATATAAATTTTTAAGTGCAACCAATCTTGTTTATGTAAATACTTATTATATATATATATATATATATATGAAAAAAGTATTTAATGTTACTTTAGATAATTTTATCTAATGTTCATCGAAACGACGTCTTGAAAAATTAAAAAATTAAAATGATAAAGACTATTATAATCCTGAAATAAATCAAAACTACAAATATACCATGATTTTCGGTCCAAGAATAACACCGTTTTGCCGAATATTAGATAAAACTATCTAAAGTAACTTTAGAACAAAAATCCTGAAACTAATTAAAAAAAATTAAAACTTTAAGGACCTATTATAATTTAATTTAAATTATATTTATAGTGAACTATTTTTATAAATTACAGTAGAAAAAAAAACTCTGCTTTTTTACCATATATTGATGGATGTTGCAATATAAAAATTGCACAGCAAAATTGGTGACATCTTAATTAATACCATTTTACAGTAGAGGAGATTTTTGTAATATAATATGTTAATTAGAGAGAGAGAGAGTGTGTGTGTGTATTATTGATCATCCCTTAAAAGATGTAATTATAACTTTACCTTGAAAAAGAATGGAATTCTCTAGACTCTGAAGTTGCATTTGAATAAGCTGAAGTTAACAGTTTTAACAATAAACTTCGGCTTGAACTGAAGCATCAAAGTTAGTGGCTAAGAAATATTAGCATAATAAAATAGCAACAGATTAAGATATATTATCCCCTAAAACAAAAGAAAGTTATCAATAGTGATTTTCAGCATTAATTTTATGACGATAGCAGGAGGGGTATAGCTGTCATGTCATCTTTGTTGGATGACGAATGCGTGCCAGAACTTATCTGGTTTCGCCTAAATGGGTTATGAACACATTATCATCGCCAGTGTGATGATAATTTTTTAGGACTTAAAATAAAATATAAAAGAAACAATATGAGTTAAAAAAAAAAAAAAAATCTTTAAAAAAAAAAAAAAATACCGATTTCAGTGTCCCGTATATTGAAGTTTTTCTCCATCGCCGCAAGTTTGAGGCCACTTTTCAGCTGCAGCTAGAAGCAGATTATAAATCTTAGGGTTCTATTTTTCTTTAAAAAAATAATACAAATTATATGTTGCAGTAAAAAAATAAAATTTGAATTGTCAGGATTTGGTGTAATTATAATTTGGAAAACTTATAAAACCCAATTCCTACTTTGATTGACTATAATTATAAATTTAATAATTAATTGTGCAGTTAATTAAATCTTATGTCACTGTTTCAAGAGGATTTGATGAAAATCCTATTCCAATATGCAAATTATTTAAACATAAACGCTAAAACGAAAAAAATATGCAAATTATTTGATAAGCTGTCATAAAAGCCCCAAAAAGAAAAGGGCCGTGACCTTATTTTAACATTACTTTATATTTCTTATAATATATGTTCAGATGTCTATCTGTTGTCATCTACCTTTAGTTTTAGTTCAACTATTTAAATGGAGTGGGGACTAGAAAAAGGTTTTAAATTGGATTTTTAGTATATCAAGCAAATATTATAATTTGCCTCCGCATATAAAAAAAGAATTAATATTTATTCTTTTAAAGGATATAGAATTGTGTCATTTTAATTGAGGAAAAAAAGTATACACAATAAAAGTCATGAAAAAGAAAATGAGAGATTTTTTAATTTAAATTTTAATTAAAAAATACTAGTTTTTACTAAAACAATCATTCTTTAAAGGGGAAAAAGTTTATGATATTACTTTAGACAACTGTATCTAATGTTCATTGAAACGACGTCGTTTTGAGGTTGAAAAATTAAAAATTAAAATGATAAAGACTATTATAACCCTGAAATAAATTAAAATTACAAAAACACCATAATTTCCGTCCCAAAACGACGTCGTTTCGATGAACATTAGATAAAATTATCTAAAGTAATTTTAGAAAAAACAAACCCTTCTTTAAAAGGACAAATGTTTTTCTCATAAAAAAATTATTTAGCTAACCGAAGTGGGAAGGTTTAAGCTCTAATAAATTAGATTAACAAATAATTATTCGAAACCCGCATCAATCATGATTAATTATAGTATGCAATGATGCCAGGGTGACTAGTATGGGAACAAAATAGTTGGTCCACTTTACAGAGTAGACGGGATATTATAAATACGTAATGGCCTTAACATGAATGTCCAGCAGATGGTAACATTCATGCTATGTTAGTGATGGGAATTTTATGGGATAAAAAAGAGGAGGGGTGGATTTTGATGACTATGACAATTGACATGTAATGCCGCCACCTCTGATTCAGTTTAATCCTATTCTCATATTCAAGTATCATATGCATAATTCGATAATTTTGAATGAAATGTGATCGTCATTAGAGTTTGGATTTTCAAATATAAAGTATGTGTTATGGCTGAGAGAGCACCACGTGTTGAACACTGAGTTTATGATGGATGTAAACAAATAATTTTTTTTTTTTCTTTAATTTGTTTGCTTGTGTAAATTAAGAATGACTATTTTCACTGGACGGTGGCTGTCTTCAATGTTTTAAATTAAAAATATAACTTCACGAGCTTAGCTTTGCGCTTTAACAACATTGTTTTGGTCTGTGATATATAAGTATCGGACTCTTAATCATGTCAATGTTTCGTTTTTGAGTTTGAAACATGCACAACCAATAATTTCATTAAAATAATAAAAATAGTGCGTGAGTAAAGAAAAAAAAAATAGAGTAAACAATTCTCTCCCTTCGAATTTATATAAATATTTAGTTTTGAACATAACTTTCGATTTTTTTTATCATATTAATAATAACTACCTCCCTCAAATTTATAGAAATTTTAATTACGAACACAATCTTTATTTTTTTATTATATAGATAATCATAATTTATTAAAAATATATACTTTATAACTTCGCTCCCTTGTAAAATAATTTGACTAAAACAATGAAAATTTTCAATCTAAACAGTTATTTAATGGAAAAACAAATTGTGATATTTCATTGAGTTTATTAGCAATCATATTCCCAAGGAAGGAGAATGCTCGAACAATCTACGGCAAGTTCGAACGAACTCCAACAGTCTAAGAGCTTCTCTATGGTAGAATAATTTCATTTTAATTATAGTCTGTCTGTCATGTATTCAAAGGATGTTTATTCATGACAAGGGGGGCCAAATTTAGTCCATCCCATAATTATCATTAATGAATTCTTAAACGGAGAACAAAAGGATAATTAAAAATAAATAAAGGGCAATGTACTTCGAGGGAAATTTCCTCATGTCATCATGGTGGGGTCCATTTTTAAAAAAAAAAAAAAAAAAAAGAGATGCATATGGTGCTCAGAACATATGATTTTGGTTCCTTGCAGGTACCTCAGAACTTTCTTTGCAGTTTTTCAATGATCCATACCAGGATTACTCTAATATCTTCCCAACATTCCAACTGCAAAGCTAATATCTGGTCTTGTACAAGTATGAGCATACATTAAACTCCCAACAAGAGATGCATATGGAATTTTTTCCATTTCCTTTCATTCAAATCATTCTTAGGACATTGCATGAGACTAAACTTGTCTCCTTTCTGAATTGGAACAGGCAAAATATTAAATCTCTCTAAAACTTTATTGATATATGGTTTCTGAGACATACCCAACAATCCTTGTGATCTATCACTATAAATTTCTATCCCAATCACAAAGGTCGCCTCACCTATATCTTTCATTTCAAAGTTACTAGAGAGAAACTTTTTGGTCTCATTCAAGAGCCCAAGATCATTAGTTGCAAGCAAGATATCATCAACATACAAAATCAGAAATATAAACTTACTTCCACTGACCTTTAGATATATACACCGATCAACGGTGTTTTCCTTAAATCCAAAGGAGACAACGATATAATTGAACTTAAAGGTACCATTTCCTGGAAGCTTATTTAAGTCCGTATATAGACTTCTTAAGTTTACACACCATGTGTTTGTTTCCCTTTTCTACGAACCTCGTTGGTTGGTTCATATACACATCTTCTTCTATGTTCCCATTCTTTCTTAGAGACCGGTGAGAAGGTCTCCTGAAAGTCAACTACATCCTTTTGAGTGAATCCTTTTGCAACAAGTCGAACCTTGTGTCGTTCGAAATTACCTTGAGAGTCATGTTTGGTCTTAAAGACCCACTTGCAACCAACTCTCTTATAACCTTTAGTTAATTCAGTCCCAAACTTCATTATGTTCCATGGATTTCAACTCATCTTTCATGGTATTTAACCATTTATCAAAATTATCACAATTCATGGCTTATGAAAATGAAACTAGATCGTTATCTATTCCCAAGTCAAATGCATGTTCTTGTCGATAAACCACAAAATCATAAGGAATAGGGGGTCTCCTTTCTCTTTGAGACCTCATTAATGCTATTTGTTGTGGTTCTTCCACCATGGGTTCATCTGGTTCATTCATTACAACTTCATTGTGGTTAGTCGTATCATTCATGTGTTGTTCTTCATTATTGTTAATCGGTACAACATGAGGAATAACACCTTTATTAGATATGCAAGTTAAAGGAATTTGCACTCTTATTTCTGACCTAATGGGCCAAAACCCAAAGGAAATGGGTGTTCGAGGAAAAAAAACAATGCATTAAGTATCAAGGCCCAAAACTTTTCATGATAAAAATTGAGAAACGGGTGCTGAAAATAATAATGGACCAAGAGAAAAGAAAGACCCATGAGCCAAAATCAGTGGATCTCTTGCTCAATGGCTCAATTTCTAATACCAACCCACGAAATAATGGCCAAGCAGGAATCATGGATCATAATTACGGGCTTGGGGTGAATGAAACTCTTCAAACAAAAAGGTCTGTGGTTGCAAACCATGAAGGAGAGGGAAATTCCAGCCCTAACGCTAAAGTGGGCAAGGGAGGGAGCGTGCTTCCAAAGATTGTTGTAGGAGGAGCTTATTGACAAGAAGCGTGAAAATTTATACTTCAAATGTGAGGTGTCTTCTTCACCGAACCAGGTCTGCCATAGCCGTGCATGTTGGTAGATACTTGCGAACTTGAGCTAAAAAGGGAAGGGAAGCTCTGCGACGGTAAAGGAATGGAGGACATCGAATATATTTAGTTGAGCGTCCTTAGTATGGTGGGTCTCTCTTTGAGTCATTCCTTGAAGTTAAGGTGCTTTAAACATTGGGACCCGGTAGAAGTTCTCTCACATTACCTATAATCTTTTTTCACCTTGAGAACAACGTGAGTTTTGGAGGAGAAGTATTGATGGGGCTAAAAGTGAGAGTTAGTTAGTGAATTTCTTCTAGAATATTCTTAGAGGATAAGATAAAAAGGAGGGAAATGTGTGGAGTAAGGTATACATGTATTGACTGAATATTGGGGATTTGGGGATCTCTTGGAGCTTAAGGTTGTTGGTTCTAAGGATGAGCTTGGAAAGTATTTTTTTAGTGTCAATCGGTGGTGGTGTTTGTAAAGGAGGCTATGCCTCCATTGATAATAAAATCAGTGCTGTAATTTTGGGTTCCATCGTATACACACAGGTATGGTGGTTGAATTAGAGTTGGGAACCAAAACAAAACAATGCACAGCACCTGAACGGATCTTCCTAACCTTCAATTTCAATCACTCCAAGTTATTTGGGTCATTCCTCTCCCAACTAGCACATAGCTCTTTTGGAAATTCAGCACAAAAACCCAGTTCATAAAGAAGCCGCATTGGCTTATCTGTCTGTCCACATTCATCGTACACACGAATTTGAACTTAACAAAGTCTTCAATCAAAGGAGAAACTCTTTCGACGGCGAGGACAAGGCACTGCCTCCTCTCACACCTTTACTCAATGTTGTTTGGAACCCGCCTTGGATAGAATGGGATAAAATCAATTCTGATGGTGCTTGCATTACTCACCTAAGGATGCGGGGTGTTGAGGTACTCAAAGAGATTGTCAAGAAATGAATAGTGGGTTTATCTAGAAATCTTGATAGTGCAGGGATCATAGGATCGCATTGTTGGCATAACCTTCAAATTGCATAATACATTTGCTTTAAACTCATCATAAAAAGTAGACCATCCTAGTTTTAATTGGTTAAACGGAAGTTTAATCAACTATACTTTTAATTCAACTACTATAGGAAGGGGGATGTTTCTCTCAAAATAATGACTACAAGAAGTATTGGCATGAATTAGAGCTCAACGAGATATTCTACCGCCTCTTTGGCAAGTTGAGAATCAAAGAATGTGCAAGCGCACAGTTATGGGTGTGGTGTAATTTCTTCATATTAATAATAGTGTTAAGTAATGGAGAAGTAATGATCCCTCATGGAGGTGGGGGTATTTATAGTGTGAAAAAAAAAAATCCCCGAAAAATGATAAGGCGATTTCAGCCCTATGATCCCCACTAAAATGTACGAGAAAGTGACAGAAAATTAAATTCAAAGGGATCCTTCTTCAATGGTGGACACAACCTATCAAGCAGCCCAAGGGAGGAGGCCCAGATAGGCCAACCAATTAATCTAAAACATTATCTAATTCAATCACAATATATAATCAGAAGTTTCGTCAATTTTATTTTATGTTCAGCTTTTAGCCTTTTACAATACCACTTTTAACCAGTGGAGTTGGAACTTGATTCTAAAGTCCTCTAAATTCAGAATACAGGCTTGGTACATTTTCTTTTTAATCAATAAAATGAAATCTTCAAAAACAAAGAGAAAAAGAGAAGATATCCTACACTACTGAGCAAAAACAGGACAAAAAAACGAATAATTCTGTCTCCACTCAGTGGAGATACGAAGTTAAGCAAAAACTCAATAATTCATATGCAATAAAGCGGCCACAACACAAAGAAAGAAGTGAAAACATTCCTCAGCATGGATTCGTGTAGCAGTAGATAACATAGAAAAGACAAACAAAAGCTCTTTACCAAAAATAATCCAGGTGGCTAAATCAATTAAAAGAGAGATAACGATAAACAAAAAAAAAGGGCGTCGGAAAACAGAATGTCACATTACATTCCGAATGTAAACTACAACCGTAATCGAACCAAGAGACTGCACTTAATAAAATCCCGTGATCTAAGTAAGGGATATCTACATGAACTAAAGTCTAGAAACAGAGAATACTGAGCATTTTCTCAAACCCTTTCTCATTTGCTTACTTTCTATTTTATTAATCAACCAAATCTATACAGAAAGAAAATTACAATTAGCAAATAATCACGACAGTCAAACGAATATTAAATGAATTTCATTATCCCTCAATCATTCTCTACTCACGTTAGTTCATAACCAACATTAGGAAATGCATCAGAAGATGCACAAATGTACACCAATCAACTCTTCTACTATTACAAAAACAAAAGAAGAAAAGATTAAATACAGCCATCTTCAACCATACAGTAAAAAAAACTTAAACCAGAGCGATAAAAATATTTACAAGTGTAACAATAACGGTACCCCAAACATAGAATACTCTGGGTGAAATAAGAATCATCCAACAAGCTTAACCCTCAGCCCACATCAACAAATAAGACATTAAGAGAAACTCTTTGTTTGAAATTGAATATAGACGGGAAAGCATTAGTCAATTTTAATCAATTACTTAATTATGCTCTACATGAAAGACGACATGCCATTGGTCCCAAAGGCCATTTGCAATGTTTCCAATTAACAGAAAAATTAATAATCACCATGTTGGTGACTACTTAGTCAAAAACAACACAAGCAAAAAGGGGAACATACGCATAATGACTAAAATCCATTGACAAAATTATATCGAAATAACATATGATATTGTAATCATAAACTAGCAAAGCTAATAAGAACTCTCCGAATCATTTAAATTATCCAAAGCAGTAAATAAAACAAAACAAAAACATACAATAGTTCCTCAAATTTATATAGAAAAGCACAGATCAAACAGAAGGAAAAAAAAGGAAGAAGAGAGGATCAAACACCTCCTCTTCCTCAATCCTGAGGGATTTCGACGTCTCCGTCGGTGATTTCCTGCTGCAAGTCCTTGGGATCCTTTCCATCGACGGTGCAGCCAACGGAGACGCAGGTTCCGAGAATCTCCTTGACGGTGCCGGCGAGTTCCTTGGCCATGGACCTCGGCCTCATGACCCTAGCGATCTCGATCACGTCATCGAGGGAGATGTTCCCGCTGTGCTTAATGTTCTTAGTCTTCTTTCGGTCACGCTCGGGCTCCTTCAGGGCTTTGATGACCAGCGCCGCCGCAGAGGGAACCACCGAGACCTTGGCCTGACGGTTCTGGACGGTGAGCTTGACGGTGACCCTGAGCCCCTTCCAGTCCTTAGCGGTCTCCTTTGCAATGTCTTCTCCGATCTTCTTTGGTGAGAGACCGAGCGGACCGATCTTCGGCGCGAGCGAACTCGCCGCACCGACCTCGCCGCCGGTGACTCTGACGTAAACGTCGACGACCTGTGAGGGGTCGAGCTTCGGCGGCATTGTTGCACAGTCAAATAGGGATTAGGGTTTCAGAGGAAAATGAGGCGAACGAAGGAGAACCAAACTAAAGAGGAGTTAATATATAATGTGCATTAGGGTTTTTGCTCAAACTGAAACTCAAATGTCTGTTTTGCCACTGATTCTGTACAGACAACAGAAGGATATATGTGTCTTTTGGTTTTGGGCTCTACTCTCTCTCTCTATCTGCAGATCTAAAGTGGGCTTTTTTGTTTTAACGAATTGGGCTCTTCTTTTTCTTTTTTTTGGTGAATGTTACTTTGAGCTTGAACCCTACTGTTATTACATTGAATAAAAGAAAATGAGGAATAGATTAATTTAGAAAAGTATGAATTTGTATGACATAATTAACATATAATATTCTCAAGAAAAAAAAATCAATAAATCAAATTAAATATGTATGATTCGAAAGGAGTAATAAATAAACTGAATTATAAAAATTGAATACTTACAAAATAAAGGTAAAATAAATACAACGATGCTTGAAAAATAAATAAAATAAATCAATTATTATTTGAGTAATAAAATAATATTATTTAATTATTGAATACATAATAGGTTTAAATAGGTTAAGAGGTCTAGCTCAAAGCTTTTATTTTTTAAATATAGGTCAAGCCAGACTTATAATTTGGATCTATACAAGGCTAACAGGGCAGGTCAGACTTAAAGTATTTCATACAGGCCTCCCCTCTTTAAGAAAAAGTCTAATTCAACCCAACTTATTTACACACTTAGGCACAGTCACACTCACAGAGAGAGTGGGTCCGTCGTGGCACTCGCAGGCTTCCAATTCCCTTGGACTTTGTTTGCAAGTTTGGAGGGAACGTTAAGGGAGCGGATCCAAAGAAAAGGGTTGGGAGGGAAGGGAAGGAAATGAAAGATATTCCCTCTCTTTGTTTGAGAGTTAAAACTCCTCAAAGTAGGAGAACTTTAATTTCAAGAACAAGTATTTTGGAGGGTTTTATGAAAATCTTCAATTCTTTCCCTTTACTTTTTTTTAAACTCACAAATAAAGAAAAAAATTAATAAAACTCTCATCTTCTTCTTTTTTCCTTCTTAAAACTAACTCCCAAATAACAGGAGGAAATACCCTGCATGAAAGGTTTAAGAACCGAAACGTGAAAGGTGGGGTGTAATACGGTATCAGATTTTGCAATACGATACAAGAATCAAATATCTTTTCTCTGAATTGTTCATACATTAGCAAGTAGAAGTCAAGGCAAAAAAAATTAATTTATTACTTTTTTAATAAAAAATTACGAATAAGTTGTCGTTTTGCAAAAAATTACGAATCTATAGCACCCAAACACGCCCACATGGGGCGTGTTCTGATGGAGAGAGACACGCCCATGTGGGGCGTGAGCTTGTGAAGGAAACACGCCCAACGTAGGGCGTGTGTGGTCACGCCTAGGATAAGGCGTGTTCAGTGGGTAGACACGCCCAAATATGGGCGTGAGTGACTAAACTGAATGCTATTTAAACACCCACCCCCCTACACACTCTTCACAATTCTGTCATTGTTATGCTAAACTCTCTGATAGTTTGCACTTGTTTACTCATATTTTGTTTTATCTTTTAAAATTTTGATTTTAAAAATGAGTGCGAATTCTGATATTATTCGTGTTGTTCTATATTTTAACGGTAGGAAAGAAGAAGGTCGTCGTGGTGTTATTTTTGTAGGGGAGAAAAGGCCATCACGTATTAAACGAAACTCAACGGTTGCTGAGCTGCATCAGAAAATACGTCAAAAATTATGTCTTCAAGACAACCAATTGATCACTCTTGTCACGGCAAGGTTATGGCAATGTGAACAATACATTAGCTTGCAAGTGGTCGATGACGAAGACATCGATATGGTAATGGAAGAGTTCTTGAACCAGTGTAGAAAGGATTTCTTAGAGTTGTATGTGGATACTACAACCGCGGAGGAAGTTGTCATACCAATGAGGTCAGTTAGGTCTACTTCTCCTCTTAATGCATCATCATCTGTTGTTCCTGCTGTTAACATGTCTGAGGAAGATGAACATGACCCTACTTGGGTTATGGATGAGGAGTATGACGAAGATGATGAGGAAAATATTGCAATAGAGGATGGTCTTCTTTTAGAGGATGCGAGTGCATCGGACAATGACGAAGAATGTGGCAGGTCTGGTACTGAACTTCAACCATTGCATGATTTGGGGGAGTCTCGTATCGTTGTACATCATGGCACAACATCGAGTCAAGTACCAGAACATCCTGAAGGTATGCTATCAATTAATATACTGACAGTTTGGTTGTTACAAATTTTGATTAAGAAAATAATTCAATTCTATTATTATTATTACGTAGTACATGTAGGCGATGCACCTGTTGATCCTTTTTGGTCAGAAATTCCACATTACACATATATTGAATGGGATTATCCGAGTGAGGCACAATCATGGACGCACAATTATGTGGTCTTTGTAAGCAACACGGGCACAATCGTAGGTCGTGTCCTAACCGTGGCAATAATGCATGATATGAATTGTGGGTGTTTGTCACTTATGAACAATTAATTTGCCAATTACAATGTATCGCTCTGTTTTTTTAAAATTAGCTTTTACGGTGATTGTGTGGTTTGCTTGCATATTACGTATAACATCGCATACATAAAACTGATTTGTTTACTCCTTGCATGCTAATAGAAAAATTCAAAAAACAGTCCACAATAGTCAGCGATAGCACAATACACAATTACAACAGTCCCAAAAAACCAGTCAATACATCAGTCCATGTAACTAAACAAAAAAATAGTCAATACATCAGTCCATGTAACTAAACCAAAAAACAGTCAATACATCAGTCAATACATGAAATAAAACTACGACCAACGAGGCCATGGCCTATCACGTGCCTGACGTGGGGGTAATCGACGCCTAGACTGAGCCTCTATAGCCTGTGCAAATGCGTCAAGACATGGCTCCTCGTCGTCAACCGCCTCTGGAACATGAGCTGGTGGAGTCGTGCAAGACATGCCAGGTGTAGAAGCAACATATCCACCGCTCGCAGATGGTATAAAATCATGATGTGCACTAACATGTGTAGGCCAATCGCCTATTCCGTCTGTGGTCAAGTCCAAGGTCTGGCACCACTCCGTAACGTCTTCCATATTCCACTCCTGATACTCTGTACCATAGGAAGGATCCTGAGAGACCGGTACCCCACCAGATGCGCATGCCATGGGGCTAGTCTGATAAACCTGCTCACTCTGTGTAAACCCCTGGCCATACGATGGACCTGGCAGGCTATCATAATACTGCGGCGGAGGAGGACCATCGTACATAGGCTCTGGCCCGCCTGCTTGGCTCAGCACTGGCGGTCTAAACCAACCCTGCATATCATTGTGCGGTCTAGGAGCAATAATAGGATCGGGTATCGCTCGAACCGATTCCCGCTGTCGTCCTAGTCCACGCCCCTCCTGCCTGCCACTGGGCACCTCAATGGTCAACATCGGCTCCTCAACAGTCTGCGTAGGTGGAGCCTCTAGCCCTGGCTCCTCTACTCGTGCCGACTCTCTGAATATGGCAATAATATGTAAATAAGTAAAAAAACAATTAATAATAGATATCACAAACCTCGTCTCTATAAAGCGTGTCAAGGTTTGCCCGATACCAAGACTGCTCATGTGGCTTAAAGGGAGGTAGGGAATTAAACCTGTAATGGAATGTGTAAACCATTATAATACTCATTCGACAAATGAACATGTAATAAATTAGTCAATATGAGTTAATAAAATATACCTGTGATCAAAATGCCACTCCGGGTGGGTAGGCTGCTGGATAGGTGGTGCAATGGGGGGAATCTAATCCAAGCCCATATCTGCAGTAATACGTGACAACCACCCAGATTTACAGTCCGCGGGTTTGTTGCCACACATAAATGTCTAAAGAGATGGGCGAGAACCGCAGACCCCCAACTGTATCTGCCAATGTCCGTAAAGTCCCCTGCAAGCAGTGGAACGTAACGACAAGCAATTTTGCTGCCACCTGATCTGTCACACACTAACCATGAGCCTAATAGCCGCAAAATGTGTGCCTTGGTGTAACGCCTCACCTCCTCTGGATTGTGTGCTACTGTAAACCAATCAGCATATATCTTGTCTAAGTATGAAATACGTAGATCGCCTCCGTGAATGTCTGTGCCCGCAACTGGGGCAGTCCCAAAAACCTGCTGACACATAGCAATCCAATCCAACGCTGTAGATCCGGTAACTGCCTGCCCGTCAGTAGGCAAACCAAGTATACCAGCCATGTCCTGTAATGTAACGGTCATCTCTCCCTGCGTCATGTGAAATGTATATGTCTCCGATCTCCAACGCTCAACCAAAGCAGAGATCAAGGGGGTATCGATCTGAAGGAAAAACAACAATTATACAAAGTCCACATACGGTAATTTAATTAAGCTATTTAAACATTACATACCTGAACATGACTCATACGTGCCACGTGTATGAACCCAGCCTGTGTCAAATAGTCAGCGACAACGTCTGGTATATCATCGTGATGGGGTCCCCCCTGAAGTTTCCCTCGCCTCTTCTTTAACCCCCTAACCGTATCCTCGTTCCACACAACTTGTGAAACGTGACTGCGTTGTGTCCTCTTACGGAGTACCTCCCACCTATATGGACCAGGAAGTGCATGCGTACAAGGATCGGATGGCTCAAGATCACCATCGGATCCAGAGCGCGAGGACTCTGACGAAGACGAATGGGCCATAATAGAATACTACTACAGATGAAAAAGATGTACCCAAATTACTATTGATATTATATTAATTTACACTATATAAAATTTAATTGCACTTAATTAAATAGCATTTAACTAACTTCAATTGTTATATTAATTTCAATTAAATTAACATCATTGACAATTAATTCATTTAACATTACATTATTCTATCAATATATTTCAATACAAATATTAATTCAAATTCAATTTAAATTAAAATTGCATACGTTATTCATTCGTCTTTAACCCTAATTATAATGTGGTTAATTGAAAGGTCAATATGTTTGCAAGTGTCAT